GTGCCAGACGTGTCCCCCTGCTTAAGCCAGTATATGTCCAGGCCCGTCTGAAGTTTGCTAGAGTGCATTTGGATGATCCAGAAGAGTATTGGGAGAATGTCATATGGTCAGATGAAACCAAAATAAAACTTTTTGGTAAAAACTCAACTCGTCGTGTTTGGAGGACAAAGAATGCTGAGTTGCATCCAAAGAACACCATACCTACTGTGAAGCATGGGGGTGGAAACATCATGCTTTGGGGCTGTTTTTCTGCAAAGGGACCAGGACGACTGATCCGTGTAAAGGAAAGAATGAATGGGGCCATGTATCGTGAGATTTTGAGTGAAAACCTCCTTCCATCAGCAAGGGCATTGAAGATGAAACGTGGCTGGGTCTTTCAGCATGACAATGATCCCAAACACACCGCCCGGGCAACGAAGGAGTGGCTTCGTAAGAAGCATTTCAAGGTCCTGGAGTGGCCTAGCCAGTCTCCAGATCTCAACCCCATAGAAAATCTTTGGAGGGAGTTGAAAGTCCGTGTTGCCCAGCGACAGCCCCAAAACATCACTGCTCTAGAGGAGATCTGCATGGAGGAATGGGCCAAAATACCAGCAACAGTGTGTGAAAACCTTGTGAAGACTTACAGAAAATGTTTGACCTGTGTCATTGCCAACAAAGTGTATATAACAAAGTATTGAGAAACTTTTGTTATTGACCAAATACTTATTTTCCACCATAATTTGCAAATAAATTCATTAAAAATCCTACAATGTGATTTTCTGGAATTTCTTTTCTGATTTTGTCTGTCATAGTTGACGTGTACCTATGATGAAAATTACAGGCCTCTCTCATCTTTTTAAGTGGGAGAACTTCCACAATTGGTGGCTGACTAAATACTTTTTTTCCCCACTGTATATCCACATTAAAATGAGTCCTATATCGACATAACCTTAAAGGCTGCTAAGCAAGGAAGAAGCCACTGCTCCAAAACCGCCATAAAAAAGCCAGACTACGGTTTGCAACTGCACATGGGGACAAAGATCTTACTTTTTGGAGAAATGTCGTCTGTTCTGATTAAACAAAAATAGGACTGTTTGGCCATAATGACCATCATTATGTTTGGAGGAAAAAGGGGGGAGCTTGCAAGCCGAAGAACACCATCCCAACTGTGAAGCACGGGGGTGGCAGCATCATGCTGTGGGGGTGCTTTGCTGCAGGAGGGACTGGTGCACTTCACAAAATAGATGGCATCATGAGGAAGGAAAATTATGTGCATATATTGAAGCGACATCTCAAGACATCAGTCAGGAAGTTAAAGCTTGGTCGCAAATGGGTCTTCCAAATGGACAATGACCCCAAGCATTCTTCCAAAGTTGTGGCAAAATGGCTTAAGGACAACAAAGTCAAGGTATTGGAGTGGCCATCAAAAAGCCCTGACCTCAATCCTATAGAAAATGTGTGGGCAGAACTGAAAAAGCGTGTTCAATCAAGGAGGCCTACAAACCTGACTCAGTTACACCAGCTCTGTCAGGAGGAATGGGCAAAAATTCACCCAACTTATTGTGGGAATTTTGTGGAAGGCTACCCAAAACGTTTGACCCAAGTTAAACAATTTAAATGCAATGCTACCAAATGTTAATTGAGTGTATGTAAACTTCAGACCCACTGGGAATGTGATGAAAGAAATAAAAGCTGAAATAAATCATTCTCTCTACTAGTATTCTGACATTTCACATTCTAAAATAAAGTGGTGATCCTAACTGACCTAAGACAGGGAATATTTTACTAGGATTAAATGTCAGGAATTGTGAAAAACTGAGTTTAAATGTATTTGGCTAAGGTGTATGTAAACTTCCGACGACACAACAGTGGTTGGCCTGATCACTGACAACGATGAGACAGCCTATAGGGAGGAGGTTAGAGACCTGGCTGTGTGGTGCCAGGATAACAACCTCTCCCTCAACATGATCAAGACAAAGGAGATGATTGTGGACTACAGAAAAAAGAAGAGGACCGAGCACGCCCCCATTCTCATCGACGGCGCTGTAGTGGAGCAGGTTGAGAGCTTCAAGTTCCTTGGTGTCCACATCACCAACAACCTATCATGGTCCAAACACACCAAGACAGTCGTGAAAATGGCACGACAAAGCCTATTCCCCCTCAGGAGCCTGAAAAGATTTGGCATGGGTCCTCAGATCCACAAAAGGTTCTACAGCTGCACCATTGAGAGCATCCTGACTGGTTGCATCACCGCCTGGTATGGCAACTACTCGGCCTCCGACCACAAGGCACTACAGAGGGTAGTGCGTACGACCCAGTACATCACTGGGGACAAGCTTCCTGCCATCCAGGACCTCTATACCAGGCGGTGTCAGAGGAAGGCCCTAAAAATTGTCAGACTCCAGCCACCCTAGTCATAGACTGTTCTCTCTGCTACCGCACGGCAAGCGGTACCGGAGTGCAAAGTATAGGTCCAAAAGGCTTCTTAACTGCTTCTACCTCCAAGCCATAAGACTCCTGAACAGCTAATCAAATGGCTACCCGGACTATTTGCATTCCCCCCCCCTCCCCGTTTCACGCTGCTGCTAATATCTATGCATAGTCTCTTTAACTCTACCTATATGTACATATTTCCTCAATTACCTCGACTAACCTGTTCCCCAGCACATTGACTCTGTACCGGTACCCCCTGTATATAGTCTCGCTACTGTTATTTTACTGCTGCTCTTTAATTATTTTACTTATCTATTTTTTACTTAACACTTATTTTTCTTAAAACTGCATTGTTGGTTAATAATAATAATGATAATATGCCATTTAGCAGACGCTTTTATCCAAAGCGACTTACAATCATGTGCGCATACATTTTTACGTATGGGTGGTCCCGGGGATCGAACCCACTACCCTGGTGTTACAAGCGCCATGCTCTACTAATTGAGCTACAGAGGACCGAGTAGTTAAGGGCTTGTAAGTAAGCATTTCACAGTAAGGTCTACACCTTTTGTATTCGACGCATATGACAAATAAAATGTGATTTGATTTGATGTCCGCTCACTGTTTTGCTGCTGCCAAACTTGATCTTTTAATAAAGCTTTGGTGATTAAGATTTATTTCAAAGCGGTCTGATGAGCCGAACACTTTATTGATAGTCATGACTAATTTGCGAATGCATTGGGCATGACAAAAAATACTGCCTTCACTGAGAGGAGGGGAGGCTATGCTTGGTTTTTAACCTCTACGGGATCGGTGTCCCGTATACGGGACGGTTGAGCTAACGTGAGCTAATGTAATTAGCATGACTTTTGTAAGTAACAGCAAACTTTCCAGGACATAGACATGTCTTATATGGGCAGAAAGCTTAAATTCTTGTTAATCTAACTGCACTGTCCAATTTACTGTAGCTATTACAGTGAGAAAATACCATGCTATTGTTTGAGGAGAGTGCACAACAACAAAAAACGTATCACGGCAACTGGTTTGATACATTCACCTCTGAAGGTAAATAATGTACTTACATTCAGTAATCTTGCTCTGATTTGTCATCCTAAGGGTCCCAGAGATAAAATGTAGCATCGTTTTGTTTGATAAAATCAATTTTTATATTCAAATGTAGGAACTGGGTTCTACAGTTTGAACCCCTGCTGTCTCTGGCTCCACACCCACCCCGCCCGGCCATCTAGATGTGTGCAAGTTAGTGTATAAGCTAATGATCCATCATGTATGACATTCCTGGGAGTGTGTAAACTCATTTTTGTATGTTCTATGTAGATATGTACTTGAAAATGTATCAATTGACCAATTGACCAATTGGGCACACAAAATAGTACAGTATTGCAATGCTTCACTGGATCAATCTGAAACTTTGCACACACACTGCTGCCATCTAGTTGCCAAAATCTAAATTGTGCCTAAACTGCAATATTATATTGTGGCCTTTCCCTTGCATTTCAAAGATGATGGAACAAAAAAATAAATAGAAAACATGTTTTTTTGTTTATGTTATCTTTTACCAGATCTAATGTGTTATATTCTCCTACATTAATTTCACATTTCCACAAACTACAAAGTGTTCCCTTTCAAATGATATCAAGAATATGCATATCCTTGCTTCAGGTCTTGAGCTATAGGCAGTTAGATTTGGGTATGTAATCTTAGGCGAAAATGGAAAAAAAGGGTCCGATCCTTAAGAATCAAATGAAATGAAATGGGAAAAAACATGAGGTTTTTTATGTTTCTAAATACGAGGTTTACGGGCACAAAAAGCACATCTCTCTGGTTCCATGTGCATATGGGCTCTGTGCATCACGGCTGGATAGGCTTCCATCGTGTTACAGCTAAGACCAGCTTTCGGTTGGTCTTAAATATCCCCACCAGCGCATACTGAAATTGGCACTTTGGCGCACCTTGTCAAGGACACACCTCAGATATTGCCACCCCGCAAGCGAGCTCATTTAACATTTTACATTACATTTTATTCATTTAGCAGACACTCTTATCCAGAGCGACTTACAGTTAGTGAGTGCATACATTATTTTAATTTTTTTCATACTGGCCCCCCGTGGGAATAGAACCCAGCTACATCCCTGCCGGCCATTCCCTCCCCTACCCTAGACGACGCTGGGCCAATTGTGCGCCGCCCCATGGGTCTCCCGGTCGCGGCCGGCTACGACAGAGCCTGGATTCGAACCAGGATCTCTAGTGGCACAGCTAGCACTGCGATGCAGTGCCTTAGACCACTGCGCCACTCGGGAGGTTTAAGACAGGTAAATGACCAATTACCATGGTTTGAAAATAGAAGAGCGCCGGCTTTAACAGGTCGATATTGCAAACGAGCGTGTGTTTGACAATTGCGCTGGCTTAACACCAGCTGCAAATAGAGTGCTAGGAGTCAGCTATACAGCACAAACATATCTGGGACCAGGCTATGACAGTGCTAAAAATGTGTGGCCAGTGGCCAGACTGTGTTTAGGTGTTGGCGGTAGTGGTAATCAGTATGGCAACATCTGATGGTGACACTTACGACACTCAGGCTGCATACACCGCTCCACCTGTTCCAGATCCTCTGTACACTCCCCTAGGTTCGGAGACTTGAGCATTCGCTGGCGTGTCCTCATGCCCTTCCCACATGTTACACTGCAGACGCTCCAGTCCGACCACGGAGACAGCATACACAGGATAGTGTCTGCAGGGATATACCAGGCAGGCATAATACATTATACATAATAATGTCCCCTGCTGTTCAGAACAACAGTTTCAACATACATGACAACATTCATTTCCGCCATCTTCAGCTACTGGTTTTCATCGCTGAAGGGACTTGAAATGATCTTATTGTTTGAATGTATTCTCCTGCATGCTCTCCTCTGAGAGATCTGTCCATTTGAGTGTGTATCTAGCCGGTTGGATCTAGATAGGTACAGACTACAGAGGCCCCTTGGCAGATTGCTGAACAAGGCTGCCTGTCACAGTGCTTTTTAGATGGAGTGTCTATGGCCTGCCGCCCGGGGGCTGAGGCAGTTGTTGAGTGGGTGTTGGAGGAATTACTCACGGCACTCAGGCATCATGCAATTCTCCACCTCTGCCACCTCCGCCTTGCACATGGAACCATCTGAGGGGGGCATCTTCACCATGCGTTCACGCCGCTGCATACCCAGCCCACAGGTGGTGCTGCAGGGATCCCACTCACCCCACTCCGTTACCACACAGCTACTGGGGGCTGATGGAGTTACAGGGACAGATATACACTCATACACTGGGATGGGACTGTTATAGCAGCTTGCGATTACTGTTGTTAACATTTACTTGAGAATCCATGTTCCATTAATATACTGACTGAATATTAAGCCTGTTGGCATATAGCAGCTTTTCAACATAGGATTTGTGGTTGTTTTCATTTCCTGTTTTAGATTATTTTGACTATACGTCCTCATGCCATCATATTATAGACAAAACATAATATTTTAGTCTTTAACACAAAAGGCCTGAAACCACAACATGATCCTGATGTCACAATTTGGATAATCTCCATGATTCAGTGAGACTCACAGCAGTCGTCGTTGACCACACACTTCTCTGTCTCCTCAGTGTTCAGAGAGCAGATGGATCCATCCTCTGGGAACTGTTTGATGTAGCGCTCCCGAGACCTCATGCCCATCCCACAGGACTCACTGCACGGAGACCAGCTGATCCAGTCTGACATCATACAGGTAGACGCTTCTAGGAACGGCAAGAGGCAAACACATAGCCTGGTTAAACCAGACTGAACTCAGTGATCACCATTGTGTCATGGTGAGTGCAGGGTTCAGTCTGGTTTAACCAGGCTAGCAAAGACGAGCAGGGTTATTGACATGTCATACATACAGTGCCAGTCAAAAGTTTGGACACACCTACTCATTCAAGGGTTTTTCTTTATTTGTACTATTTTTTACATTGTAGAATAATAGTAAAGACATCAAAACTATGAAATAACACAAATGGAATCATGTAGTAACCAATTTTTTTTTTTAACAAATCAAAATATATTTTATATTTGAGATTCTTCAAATAGCCACCCTTTGCCTTGATGACAGCTTTGCACACTCTTGGCATTCTCTCAACCAGCTTCACCTGGAATGCTTTTCCAACAGTCTTGAAGGAGTTCCCACAAATGCTGAGCACTTGTTGGCTGCTTTTCCTTCACTCTGCTGTCCGACTCATCCCAAACCATCTCAATTGGGTTGAGGTCGGGGGATTGTGATGCCAGGTCATCTGATGCAGCACTCCATTACTCTCCTTCTTGGGAAAATAGCTCTTACACAGCCTGGAGGTGTGTTGGGTCATTGTCCTGTTGAAAAACAAATGATAGTCCCACTAAGCCCAAACCAGATGGGATGGTGTATCGCTGCAGAATGCTGTGGTAGCCATGCTGGTTAAGTGTACCTTGAATTCGAAATAAATCACAGACAGTGTCACCAGCAAAACACCCCCACACCATAACACCTCCTCCTCCATGCTTTACGGTGGGAACCACACATGCAGAGATCATCCGTTCACCCACACGCGTCTCACAAAGACACGGCGGTTGGAACCAGGACAAATTTCCACCGGTCTAATGTCCATTGCTCGTGTTTCTTGGTTTCTTCTTCTTATTGGTGTCCTTTAGTTGTGGTTTTATTGCAGCAATTCGACCATGAAGGCCTGATTCACACAGTCCCCTCTGAACAGTTGATGTTGAGATGTGTCTGTGACTTGAACTCTGTGAAGCATTTATATGGGCTACAATTTCTGAGGCTGGTAACTCTAATAAACTTATCCTCTGCAGCAGAGGTAACTCTGGGTCTTCCATTCCTGTGGCGGTCCTCATGAGAGCCAGTTTCATCATAGCGCTTGATGGTTTTTGCGACTGCACTTGAAGAAACGTTCAAAATTCTTGAAATGTTCCGTATTGACTGACCTTCATGTCTTAAAGTAATGATGGACTGTCGTTTCTCTTTGTTTATTTGAGCTGTTCTTGCCATAATATGGGCTTGGTCTTTTACCAAATAGGGTTACTTCTGTATACCCCCCCGACCTTGTCACAACACAACTGATTGGCTCAAACGCATTAAGAAATAAATTCCACAAATTAACTTTTAACAAGGCACACCTGTTAATTGAAATGCATTCCAGGTGACTACCTCATGAAGCTGGTTGAGAGATTGCCAAGAGTGTGCAAAGCTGTCATCAAGGCAAAGGGTGGCTATTTGAAGAATCTCAAATATACAATATATTTTGATTTGTTTAACACTTTTTTGGTTACTACATGATTCCATATGTGTTATTTCATAGTTTTGATGTCTTCACTATTATTCTACAATGTAAAAAATAGTAAAAAATAAAGAAAAACCCTTGAATGAGGAGGTGTCCAAAATGTTGAATGGTAGTGTACATCACTACTAGCTGACACCTCTGAATTCCGCTGCCATCCATCTGGTAACAAGTAACACACCCAACATAAATTATTCACTCTGCTCTCTCAAATTATCTGGGAACAGAATTTGTAAATAGATTTGTTTTCAGAGAGGATGGATGAACTTTCGGGAACTTTAACATGGATTTCTCTCTCGTCTGGTCCATCCCACTGCCTGGCTGCAGATTGGGAGCAGCAGTGAGCGTAGCTTAATAAAGCAGAACTAAGTGAATCATTAATAAGAGCTGTAAATAAATGTGGCCCCAATGAGGCCCACAGGGGCCCCGGCCAGCTTCAGGAATATCAATCAACTACTGACCGTTAACAGAGCGATAAATTAAAACAAAGGAGTGATGTGCAGGTAGAAAAGCTTGCAATGCCAGTCCTATTAATCAATAGTGTGCAGTAGAGCGAAACGATAACCTTGAACAATTCAAACCCACTCATCAAGCGCTGACAAAGCTGAGACTTGGGGGCCCGAAAGATATTAATGGAGGTAGGAGAGAGAGAAAGATAATAGGAAGAAGGGGCAAAGGAGAAAGAGAGAGAGAGAGAGAGACACCTCTGCATGACTGATCATGTGACTTTGAGAAGAGTGGTCTTAATTGACAACTTTGATGAGAATTGGACAAAGGAGCAGTTACTTTCTGAGAGAGAAAGTTAATGCCAATCTGACTGAATAGAACAGCCTTAAGACCTGCCTTGTTTCCTGGAGGAAGAAGCGTTTGTGGAATATCATATGTCTTTTGACCTCTACCCGATTATGACACTTGGTGAGACTCCAAATTCCCCCAGCTTTGCTTCTTGTGTTTGAATGCCAAGGACAAAACTGTGTTAATTGTGCATCTTAGGTAGCACATAAACCGTGAAAGGGAAAACAATGGTAACACCATATACTGTAGGTTATCAATAAAACGTCACAATACGGCGCAGAGCGTTCGATTTGACTGCTGGGAGGTAAGGAGACCCCCAGCTCCGCTAAAACCATTGACAACTACGTGCCGCTTTCAAGGGATTGTTTAAATTTTTTTTATAACTATTTGGTTTTAATATTATCACCACTTGAAGAGCATAGTCAGAACAACATATTTCCGATTATTCCACATTTAGCTCTATCATCAGAGTTATACAGCAAGTAACTGCATGCTTTTCATGATCAGTAAACATCAATTGATCATGTAATTTCAGATACGTGAGGGTAGCCTATCCATTTGGCATGTAGCTAGCTACAACGTATCATTTAGCTTGCTTCATCAGAGATTAGGCTTTTGGAAAGAGCTTGACATCGGCAAGTCCCCGTTCTGGTAAAGTTGTCAGTCGGACAACTGTCATCCCCACTATAGATGGCAAGCAAATCAAACAATATTTGGATATAGCCATCTAGTTCATCCCCTGAAAGTTAGCTTGTTAACTAACCATATTGACCTAATCTGTTATTAGCTAGTTTGCCAATTTGACGTGGTCCATCAGTCAATGTAGCCTATCATGTCTGTCAGCAGCAATCGTGATTAAACACTCTTAAAAACAATGTTGAAAAGGGGAAAATGTTAGCTAACTTCACTAGGTAGGCTTACATTGGTTGGAGAAAAAAGTACATTAGGTACATTTACCACTAGCCTATATGTTTAGCCAACTGTACAACGTTTCTACCGGTAGCTTGCAAGGTAAACATTATCAGATAACAGTACATCCACAAATGTGTCCTTCTGCTGCTTGACAGGCAGAGCCCACAAAGGATGGGAAATTAACCTAAACCACTCATACTTGTCAGGTATAGTTCACTTTTATTTCATATCACTCAAATATCCAATTAATGGTGGCCAATATTTAGCGATATCGTGAGGCTAAAAATTACATGATCAATAGATTTTTACTCATCATGAAAAGCATGCGGTTACTTGCTGTATTACTCTGCTAAATGTGCGCAATTGTTTTGCATGGAATAATCTGAAATGTGTAGTTATGATCTATGCTCTTCAAGAGGTGATGATATTACAACCAAATAGTTAACATTTATTAAACAATCCCTTGAAAACGACACGCAGTTGTCAATGGTTTTAGCAGAGCAGGGGTCTCCTTGCCCCCCAGCAGGCTAATCGAACGCTCTGCACCTTATTGTGACGTTGTATTGATAACGACCTATTTCCTTGTGCTTGGCTAAGAAGTTGGTGGAGGAGCATGACATCATCTCAACCCTAATCCCTGTTCTCATAAACATGGGACCACTCCCATGTTAGATCTTAGTTCAGTCTGTTTGCACATGGATATGTTGACTGTCTTTTTTCAATATGATTACACAGGGATCACCAGCTCAGCCTGCAGAGCAGCAGATGAACACACAAGCCTTTAGCCAACAACCAATTTTTTTATACTTCTTTACGAATTACTTTGTTTTAAACAGTCAACTGTTTACACCAGGGATGGGAAACTTTGATGAGGGGCCGCAGCGGCTCGCAGGTTTGCGTACCCACATCCATACCCACACATGCAGTTCACTGATTTGTACAATCAATCCATTTCTGCAGTTAAACTACTTAACTATCTTAACTAAATGCATTAAACCAGTAGCCAGGGCCGGCCCTAGCCTTTTGGGGGCCCTAAGCAAGATTTGGTTGGGGGGCCCACCCACCTGGCGGGAAAAAACATTTTACTGCAATTCTACACATTTTGCCATGGGCATAGAGAAAATGTTGCAGATTTAACTTAAAGCAAGTTTCTGCAATTCTACACATTTTGCCATGGGGCAGAGAGAAAAAATGTGCAGTTTTACAGCTAATCTCCTGCAATTCTAAATATTTGCTATGACTTATGCATTTTTACATTTTTAGCAGACGCTCTTATCCAGAGCGACTTACAGTTAGTGAGTGCATACATTTTCATACTGGCCCCCTGTGGGAATCGAACCCACAACCCTGGCGTTACAAACGCCATGCTTTACCAACTGAGCTACATGGGACTATGCCATGTTAATATGATATCTGAGTGAGAGTGATTAACAAAATTAATGGGGGCCCACTGGAGGTCAGGGCCCCTGGGCAGATGCCCTGCGTGCCCAGTCGGTATTGGGCCATGTTTACAACTTTAGATAGCTGGCTAGACTAATTTACCAATCTCAAAATTGTTCGCTGACATGGCTAATTGAGTGACTGTCAGTGACTGACATAACAAGAGAAAAACTTCTGATGCACAACCAAATTTCTAAATTGCACCTTATGTATTCTACTATTCTAACCCTCAACAGTAAGTTGAGACCCCGACTGAGTTTTTGTTGTTGTTGTTGTAATTGTTGGTTGGGAGCTCAATTTTGGGAAATTAATCCAGGACCGCCAGTTGCCCATCCATGGTTTACACCTTATGGCATCTACAATAATGATTCCTAAATCATAAAATATATTTATGTACTATGAATTTATAATTCAAGCAGTCTTTTCCCTGTTTTTGAAAGCTCTTACATACAGACATTGGAGATGGAACAACATGTTCTCAACGAGACAAAACATTGTCAGTTGAATTCTCATGCAAAAACAATAGACATTTCACCCACTATAAGGCAAACAACTGTCTTCATGTCTAAATTGAGGAGACTTTATCAGCCGACTCAGACCAGTGATTGAACTGTGCCATTCAAGAGCATGCATTAGTGCTATGAATGAGAACCAGGACTGTGACACTGTCCTTAGTCCTCACCCTCCTTGCTGCAGCCAGGCCCCATGCAGGGCTTGAAGTCCTGGGTATGAGGGCAGGACACACTGAGGTCCAGCTGAGCCTTCAGCATCCTCTGTCTCATCCTCCGGCCCTTGTCACAGTTGGCTGAGCTGCAGGCTGACCACGGAGACCAGTTGGAGTAGATGCACGTCTCTGGAGTGTCGTCTGGAGGGAGAAATTCTCTATGAGACAATGAATTGACAAGTCATATAGGTCAGCTAGGTTGACTATAACTGAATTGGTTAAATGTAACTATTTTGACATATTCTAATGAGACCATGTTGGTGGGGAGGGGGGTATTCATATGCACTGTTCATGTATGTAACCCTATATTTTCACTGGTTTAGAATGTGCTGGTGCTGTATATTATGCACTAATGCCTAATTGCCTATAAAAGTAAATGCAAGTTCATACAGTTCAGGTCTTGCTCTAACCACAGTGTATAGTTACTGTACAGTACCCACAGTATGTGTACTGTAATGTACTGGAGACCGTCCTGTTTAGGAAACAGACAGTGTTGTGCTCAACAGAATGACGGTAGAGAGAACAAATAATTTGGTTGAGGTTCAAAGGTAGTGTTGGAATGTAATTGCACGGTGTGGTTACATTTTACATTTTAGTCATTTAGTAGACGCTCTTATCCAGAGTGCATACATTTTTTTTTTTTTTTTCATTATTAGAAACATAAACCCCATCAGGTTCATTTCTGAAGCTTGGCCGTGTTCATGCTTTTCAGCAGACAGACATCTGGAGGTTTAAACAGGCTGCCAGGCAAAGCATACTTAATTAAAGTCTCCAGCAAATACAGTGTGTGGTTTTTAAATTGAACATCCCAAATTGGTTGAGATAAAGCGATTACTCACCTTCCTCCTTCTCCTCCTGGCCAATATCTGCCACGATATCGTCCACCGTGTCCGGGACAATATTGCACTGCTCTCCCTGTGGGCAAGAAACATGATTCAACATCACAAACACTGATACAATTCTAAATTTACCATCTAATATCATATATTCTCATTGGAGACAAGGGTATTTATTTTCTGGGCAATCTTCAGTAAAAGGTTAGGTCAATATGACATCTGGTTGTTGGTTTAAAAGAGATTTCGTTTTTTTTTTCTTTGCTTTAAGTGTCAGGAGACAACCACACTGTAAATTTTCTCTGTGTTTTTCAAAGACTTGCTATTATCACTATGGCAATATATTGCCCATTCAAAGAGCTATGTATCCAAAGTAACATTACATGTATAGCGACTGTGAGGAGAGTTATGTTGCATGAACATTCACATCTCTTCAGAGAGAGGGAGCAGAGACAGACAGACAGAGAGCGGAATGAATGAGGCATGTGCTATAGTTACCTTTCGGGCTATCCTCTCCACCACTACCCGGGCCAAGGCTGTGATAGGGCCTCCCTCTGTGTCATAAAAGGGGCTCTGGGGGTGGTCCAGGCTGGTCAGGGACCGGATCCTCTCCTGGGGTATTGTGGGCTTGTTGGGAGACTGGAATGGTACAGGTACAGGGTGGAGTATGAGTGATACAATATGGGCATAGGGCCAGGAGTAACTGTAACACAGTGTAATATAGGTCCATGGAAGGGAGATAGTATAACAGTACTAACAGTAATACTAACAGGAGTTAGTATGGGCACAGGGTTGGCAGAAACTGTAACACAGGGTAGTATGGGAACAGGGCTGGTACAGTAGTAACTGTAACACAGGGTAGTATGGGAACAGCAGTGGAGGCTCTTCAGAGGAAGAAGGGGAGGACCATCATTTCATAAAAATAAAATAGTGGAACATTAAAAAAGTGATCTTTTTAGATAAAACTATACTAAACATATTCACGTCATCAAATACAGTGCCTTGCAAAAGTATTCATCCCTCTTGCTGTTTTTCCTGTTTTGTTGCATTACAACCTGTAATTTAAATGGATTTGTATTTGGATTTCATGTAATGGACATACACAAAATAGTCCAAATTGGTGAAGTGAAATGAAAAAAATTACTTAAATAACGGAAAAGTGGTGCGTGCATATGTATGCACCCCCTTTGCTATGAAGCGGCACCATGAAGACCAAGGAGCTCTCCAAACAGGTCAGGGACAAAATTGTGGAGAAGTACAGATCAGGGTTGGGTTATAAAAAAATATCAGAAACTTTGAACATCCCACGGAGCACCATTAAATCCATAATTTAAAAACGGAACGAATATAGCACCATAACAAACCTGCTAAGAGAGGGCCGCCCACCAAAATTCACGGACCAGGCAATGAGGGCATTAATCAGAGAGGCAACAAAGAGACCAAAGATAACCCCGAAGGAGCTGCAAAGCTCCACAGTGGAGATTGGTGTATCTGTCCATAGGACCACTTTAAGCCGTACACTCCACAGAGCTGGGCTTTACGGAAGAGTGGCCAGAAAAAAGCCATTGCTTAAAGAAAAAAATAAGCAAACACGTTTGGTGTTGGCCAAAAGGCATGTGGGAGACTCCCTAAACATATGGAAGAAGGTACTCTGGTCAGATGAGACTAAAATTGAGCTTTTTGGCCATCAAGGAAAACGCTATGTCTGGCGCAAACCGAACACCTCTCATCACCCCGAGAACACCATCCCCACAGTGAAGCATGGTGGTGGCAGCATCATGCTGTGGGGATGTTTTTCATCGGCAGGGACTGGGAAACTGGTCAGAATTGAAGGAATGATGGATGGCGCTAAATTCAGGGAAATTCTTGAGGGAAACCTGTTTCAGTCTTCCAGAGATTTGAGACTGGGACGGAGGTTCACCTTCCAGCAGGACAATGACCCTAAGCATACTGCTAAAGCAACACTCTAGTGGTTTAAGGGGAAACATTTAAATGTCTTGGAATGGCCTAGTCAAAGCCCAGACCTCAATCCAATTGAGAATCTGTGGTATGACTTAAAGATTGCTGTACACCAGCGGAACCCATCCAACTTGAAGGAGCTGGAGCAGTTTTGCCTTGAAGAATGGGCAACAATCCCAGTGGCTAGATGTGCCAAGCTTATAGACACATACCCCAAAATACTTGCAGCTGTAATTTCTGCAAAAGGTGGCTCTACAAAGTATTGACTTTGGGGGGGGTGAATAGTTATGCACGCTCAAGTTTTCTGTTTTTTGGTCTTATTTCTTGTTTGTTTGCATCTTCAAAGTGGTAGGCATGTTGTGTAAATGAAATGATAGAAACCCCCCAAAAAATCAATTTTAATTCCAGGTTGTAAGGCAACACAATAGGAAAAATGCCAAGGGAGGTGAATACTTTCGCAAGCCACTGTAGATGCGAGAAGGAATGATATATACAACGAGCTGTTTGCATGTGTCTGGTATGAAAGTCAACTGTGTTTGCGTGTGATCAGGGGTGTATTCATTGCGCCGACTATGTTGAAAAACATTTCTTAAACGGAAGCAAACGTGGATAAACATACCTGAATTTTCCAGTAGAAACTCTCGTTTGCAACTGTTGGACTAATGATTACACTCTAGATCAGCTAGATGCAGGCAAGAGTGTGCAAGGCGGTATTTAATGTGTCCCTGTCTGTCACCTTGATTACTCAACATTCTCTCAACCTGTGCACCTACATTGTAAAATTGTATTCATAGGCTAGGTTGTAGCAACCTCATGGTGGGTACAGGGAAAATTCTAGTATCATGTAGTAGCCTAAATCTATTGTTACATTAAATGAAATATGAATGACAGTCATCCAATATGCTGTAATATAAATAAGGCCAGGTTCATGATGTTTTCAAAATCATCCTCCCTCATTTTAATTGGCACTGACCTCCACAGGGGCACAGGGCTGGTAGTAACTGTAACGCAGGGTAGTGTGGGCACAGGGAGGGGCGCTAGTGAAACAGTGTGGGCACAGGGCTGAGCGAGAGCGAGAACCTCGTCATGTTCAGCTGCCATCTGTTAGGGGACTCAGTGTTTGATCTCAATATGCATAATTGATCAACTGTGTAATATTCCTTTTATGAGTGATTTATGACATTGTTTCCTGCTAGGTGCTTGGTGAATCACCTTTCATGATTCTGTTCCAAAACAGTTACTTCAGGGAAGAAAAAACTACAAATGCCATTGAGTCCCTTTCTACTTTAACTCCAGGGAATCTAGTTTTAGTTTTTAGATTTATTAATTGGTACTGCAGCCAACAGTAGCCAAAAACTAAGTAACTAAATCACATATGGAGTAGATGAATGTATTCGTCATCTGCTTTCTTTGCATAGAAAACATAAATTATATTTACAGACGGTGGATTAGGGTATATGTGTGGGTCTACATTTGCGTCTGGATTTATCTTCAGTGTCATTTCTGGCCTATAGATGGCAGTGTCTTTCCATTTATTTTCCCAGTGTCTTTTAAAGCCAGCAGAAAATGAACTATAAATTCCAGGGCAGGATTTGTTGGGGACATATTTACAGTGTAGAGACAAATAGTCTGTGAGGCAGCCACTTGGGTAAATATGCACGCCTCAATAAAATGACTACACAGTGAATGTGCTGCTTTATGTTAACAGTGGGTTTTTTGCTGAATCTGTTTCATGGGTTCTTCAGCCGAGGTTGAGTCATTTGTATATTCATGAGCCATAAACTAAAAATAAAAAAGCAACGCTCCTGCACTATTAATGAAAGTAGATCAAAAGCTTTCATTCCAGATTCATGGAAAAATACAGAGGCCTGGTTTTGAAAGTTAGAAAGGCAGAGGTATTTTACTAGATAACTGAACCAGACCAAGAAACCAGAGCCATTTATTAAATATTGACCCCTTGTTTGGGGGCCCAGGACCCTCACCTCGTAGGTGACCCCGCTGTCAGTGCCTGCGTCCCAGGGGATGAGGTCTTGGTCCAGCCTCTGGACCCAGCCACACTCCTTGGTGCAGAGGTCCTCTGCAGACAGCCCCACATTCCAGTCAGGGCTGGGCCCCAGCATGCTCAGAAAGGACATGAGGTGACGGGTACGGTCCACTGAGAACTCAGCCGAGGGAGCTGCCCGCCTGGAAAGACAAACAGATATACAGACATGTACCGTATGCTCCTCAATGTGCAGATTGACAAAGCGAAAACTGGTTTTTAGAAATGTTTGCAAATGTATTAAAAATAAAAAACAGAAATACCTTATTTACATAGGTATTCAGACCCTTTGCTATGAGACTCGAAATTGAGCTCAGGTGTATCCTGTTTCCATTGATCATCCTTGATTTGTTTCTACAATTTGATTAGAGTCCACCTGTGGTAAATTCAATTGATTGGAAATGATTTGGAAGGCACACACCTGTCTATATATGGTCACACAGTTGACAGTGCATGTCAGAGCAAAAACCAAGCCATGAGGTTGAAGGAATTGTCCGTAGAGATCCGAGACAGGACTGTGTCGAGGCACAGATCTGGTGAAGGGTACCAAAACATTTCTGCAGCATTGAAGGTCCCCAAGAACACAGTGGCCTCCATCATCCTTAAATGGAAGAAGTTTGGAACCACCACAACTCTTCCAAGAGCTGGCCATCTGGCCAAACTGAGCAATCGGGGGAGAAGGGCCTTGGTCAGGGAGGTGGCAAAGAACCCGATGGTCACTCTGACAGAGCTCTATAGTTCCTCTGTGGAGATGGGAGAACCTTACAGAAGGACAACCATCTCTGCAGCACACCCCCAATCAGGCCTTTATGGTTGAGTGGCCAGACGGAAGCCACTCCTCAGTAAAAGGCACATGACACCCCACTTGGAGTTTGCCAAAAGGCACCTAAAGACTCTCAGACCATGAGAAACAAGATTCTCTGATCTGATGAAACCAAGATTGAACTCTTTGGCCTGAATGCCAAGCGTCACGTCTGGAGGAAACCTAGCACCATCCCTATGGAGAAGCATGGTGGTGGCAGCATCATACCTGTGGGGATGTTTTTCAGCGGCAGGGACTGGGAGACTAGTCAGGATCGAGGCAAAGATGAACGGAGCAAAGTACAGAGAGATCCTTGATGAAAACCTGCTCCAGAGCGCTCAGGAACTCAGACTGGGACAAATGTTCACCTTCCAACAGTACAACGACCCTAAGCACACAGCCAAGACAACGCAGGAGTGGCTTCAGGACAAGTCTCTGAATGTCCTTGAGTGGCCCAGCTAGAGCCCGGACTTGAACCCGATCTAACATCTCTGGAGAGACCTGAAAATAGCTGTGCAGCAACACTCCCCATCCAACCTGACAGAGCTTGAGAGGATCTGCAGAGAAGAATGAGAGAAACTCCCCATATACAGGTGTGCCAAGCTTGTAGCGTCATACCCAAGAAGACTCAATGCTGTAATCGCTGCCAAAGGTGCTTCAACAAAGTACTGAGTAAAGGGTCTGATTACTTATGTAAATGTGTTATTTCCGTTTTTTATTTTTTATAAATTAGCATACATTCTAAAAAACCTGTTTTTGCTTTGTCATTATGGGGTATTGTGTGTAGATTGATGAGGGGAAAAAACAATTGAATCAATTTTAGAATAAGGCTGTAACGTAACAAAATATGGAAAAAGTCAAGGGGTCTGAATACTTTCCGAAGGAGCTGTACAATATTCAACTGTGGTGTTTGTGTAGATGCAGCACATACCACACCAATTTTGTGCTTTAAGTGTTTAAATATGCTTTGTACCGTGCCGTGAAAAAGTATTTGGCTCCTTTCTTATTTCCTCTATTTTTGCATAGTTTTTATATTAATTAATTTATATTATATTATCAGATCTTCAACCAAAACCTAATATTAGATAAACACAGTTTATTAGCTAAACCTGAGTTTACAAATAACAAAATAAATGTATACTTATTTAATTTATTTAATTAATTAACAAAGTTATGCAACACCCAATTCCCCTGTGTGAAAAAGTAATTGCCCCCTTACACTCAATACTGTAACTGGTTGTGCCACATTTAGCTGCAATGACTGCAACCAAATGCTTCCTGTAGTTGTTGATCAGTCTCTCACATCGCTGTGGAGGAATTTAGGCCCACTCGTCCAAACAGTTGACTGAAGTTTGCCAAAAAGCACCTGGATGATCATCAAGACTCTTGGAAGAATGTTCTATGGACAGATGTATAACTTTTTGGATGACATGGTTCCCATTATGCCTGGCGAAAACCAAACACTGCATTCCACAGTAAGAACATCATACCAAAGGTCAAGAATGGTGGTGGTAGTGTGATGGTTTGGGGATACTTTGTTGCCTCAGGACCTGGATGACATGCCTTAATAGAAGGAACCATGAATTTTGCTCTGTATCAGAGAATTCTACAGGAGAATGTCAGGCCATCTGTCTGTGAGCTGAAGCTGAAGCGCAGCTGGGTCATGCAGCAAGACAATGATCCAAAACACACAATCATGTCTACATGAAAATGTCTAAAAAGCAACACATTTGAAGTTTTGGAATGGCCTAGTCAAAGTCCAGACCTAATCCCAATTGAAATGTTGTGGCAGGACTTGAAATATGCAGTTCATACTTGAAAACCCACAAACGTTGCTGAGTTAAAGCAGTTATTGAGTGTAAGGGGGCAATTATTTTTCACACAGGGGCATTGGGTGTCGCATAACTTTGTTTATGAAATAAGTATGTCATTTTTGTGTTATTTGTTCACTAAGGTTCCCTTTATCTAATATTAGGTTTTGGTTGAAGATTTGATAACATTCAGTACAACAAATATGCAAAAGTCGAGAAAATTAACAAGGGGGCAAATACTTTTTCAAAGCACTCATTCATAAAGTTTAGTTGGATAAATATTCAGAATTACCACTCACACTATCTTAAGTCCAAACAAAGAAGTATAACACATTTCTGTCATAAACGCTCAACATATTAATAAATAATAACTTGTTTCTATTTAGAACTCATTAGAGGGAATAATGTAGTATCATAGACAGCAGAAGGCATTCGAGAAGTGTTAATGAGACAGATGTTATGTTGGAGATGTTAGGCTGGAGGATGTGTGTGGAGGTTAAAAAAATAGATTATGATTCCATCCCAAATAGCATCCTATTCCCTATATAGTGCACTACTTTTCACCAGACCCTATAGGCCCTGGTCAAAAGTAGTGCACTAAATAGGGAACAGGGTGCCATTTGGGACTCTTTGTATGTGTTAATTGCCACTACACTAATACTAAGAGGAGAAGAACAGCCAGTAACATCTCAATAGTTACTGAAAGAGGTGTGAAGAGCTCATTAAAATTGACAAGGATTATCAACCAAACTCTTTACATGAACTGAAATAAAAGATCCCAGAAATTCGAGCTGAAATAAAAGATCTCAGAAATATTCCATATGCAAAAAATGCTTTTTGTGCACAAATCTGTGCTTGTTAGCGAGCATTTGTTATTTGCCAAGATAACTGACAGGTGTCGCATATCAAGAAGCTGATTACACAGGTGCACCTTGTGCTTGGGACAATAAAAGCCACTCTTAAATGTGCAGCTTTGTCACACAACACAATGCCACAGATGTCTCAAGTTTTGAGGGAGCGTGCAATTGGCATGCTGACTGCAGGAATGTCCACCAGAGCTGTTGCCAGAGAATCTAATATTAATTTCTCTACCATAAGCCACCTCCAACGTTGTTTTCGAGAATTTAGCAGTACGTCCAATCGGCCTCACAACCGCAGATCACGCGGTGGGGTTACGGTAGGGGCAGTCATAAGCTACGGACAATGAACACAATTGCATTTTATCAATGTCAATTTGAATGAACAGAGATACCGTGACAAGATCCTGAGGCCCACTGTCGTGCCATTCATCCGTCACCATCACCTCATGTTTCAGTATGATAATGCACAGCCCCATGTCGGATCTGTACACAATTCCTGGAAGCTGAAAATGTCCCAGTTCTTCCATGGCCTGCATACTCAACAGACATGTCACCCATTGAGCATGTTTGGGATGCTCTGGATCGACGTGTACGACAGCGTGTTCCAGTTCCCACCAATATCCAGCAACTTCACACAGCCATTGAAGAGGAGCGGGACAACGTTCCACAGGCCACAATCAACAGCCTGATCAATTCTATGTGAAGGAGATGTGTCGCGCTGCATGAGGCAAATGGTGGTCACACCAGATACTGACTGGTTTTCTGATCCATGCCCCTACCTTTTTTTAAAGGTTTCTGTGACCAACAGATGCATATCTGTATTTCCTGTCAATTTAAATCGATAGATTAGGGCCTAATTTATTTATTTAAATTGGCTGATTTCCTCATATGAACTGTAAATCAGTAAAATCTTTGAAATTGTTGTATGTTGCGTTTATTTTTGTTCAGTATAGAACTTTCACATTCCACATGCACATCAATCTTTTTAAACAATCTCCTTCACTTTGAGACATCTATAATGTTGATGTTTTTCCGACCCCCCTTTACATCAATAATGAATATGTCTCCTCCAACAAAGCGAACATTGCCTGGCTTAATTGACAGGCTTATTTTAAAATAGGTCAATGAAACATCTTGATATATTGGAGCAGGAGGGAGGCCATTCATCTTAATCACAGAAACACCCCGAGGGAACACATCTCTCATCAAAACAGGAGCCTTCCTTTCACAAACAAAATAGCTCATGAAAAATGTAAATAATCGTTAATGAATTTAAGAAAACATCCACAGGCCAAGCATGTAGCTGGTGAATTAATTATGGATGGTTATCTCCTCCTTAGCCTGTTATCTGAGGAAGCTAAGTAGAAAGAGATATTCTGTTTCCATCAAAATTCTCAATTAATGGTTATCCAAATGATCTCTGCAAGTATATATTTTTTGAAAGACAATTAACATTATAAACCTGTGAAAGGTGAGGGTACTATTGTACATCACTGTGTACTCACACGTTCAGGGGCTGCCATGCTGGCCACTGCGCCTTGGTTTTTATAACAGTCAGAACTTCATCACCCTGTGGAGAGAGAGATACATTATTTTGGTAAAATAAGAGAAAACAATGTGGAAAACATAGAAAGATACTCAACAGTGTTCATTCCTCTCTTTTGAAATGTAAAAACTTTCCAAAGTTGAGAGCTGTGAAAGTGTGCATCTTGGGACCAGAAGTGTCTGCAATTTTATAATGGCTGTTTTTCCACAAGAGGATAACTCTTGTGAATCACACAATTCACAGTAGTTCAGCTGAGCTGGCCAGTCTGGGGGAGCAGTGTGTTACCATGGCAGCATTGTCACCTCCTGCTGAAAAATTAAAGGGCCAGTAGCAAACAGACCCTTTTGATGTAAAACTAAGTAGGGATTGTTGTTGCGCTATGAGACAGTTTGGTGTCTGACATGAAAAAACGGAAAAACAGCACGGTAGAGATCTGTGTTATTCAGTTCTCACACATTTCAGAGTAGGCACACACAGACACATGCACCTGCCCATAAACACACACACACACACACACACACACACACACACACACACACACACACAATGTACCATTTCGTAAACAGATAAAGGAATAGATAGGCACAGGTTTAGATATGAGACACACTCTTTTACTTTGAAAAGATCTAACCACTTCTACCTCACTAGTGGAGTGTGCCCTTCTGGGACAGCAACACTCAGCCTCTTTTTGGGACGTGGCCCACAGGCTTGCAAAACATTTTTTTTAAAATGGTTGACTGATGGTTCCGCAATCGCCCTGAAAGTCTTCTTCTCTCTGGGGCTTACTGTAGAAAACAAGCCTGTCTCCCACTCAGAGCACCTCAGGGCTGACCAGCTTTTGCCCTCTGAATTACTTCTTCAAGCTCTCCAGTTTTGGGCCACACTCAAGAGACCCACAGCCTTCATTTAAAGCTCAAAGTATTTTTCCTCAATAAGTGAGTGTTGTGAGAATAGTCATGGTCTCATACCAGCAAAAAGCTCAAAGCAGATGCCTGTGATTTCTGTTTGTCAGTGTCCTTCTACACTACAGTCTGTCTGTCTATCCTGATGATGTGTACTGTATGTCTCTTGGTAGGGAGGATAATCACCTGTCTGTCTGTCTGTCTGTCTGGCCTGATTTGCTGGTCTCTGCTGTCTCTACTTCACAGAACCACCTTGAAGAGGATTTTTAGCACATCCTGAGGACTAAGGGAGTCCATCTACTGACATAACCACAAGTTTATCTGCATGTCTGCATGTGGAACCAACTCTAAACAGAAGCATTGTTATTAATGAAAATCACAGTAGGATAAACCATCTCATTCTCAATGGAGGCATTTGTGTTGTGAATAGTTAAATCCAAACAGATTTTATGAGTTTTCAGAGGCAGAGCCATGCAGTATACAGCTCATGTAGACCTGGCTGTGATCCAGGCCTCCCTACAGTCTTGTATGTACACTGAACAAAAATATAAACGCAACATGCAACAATTTCAAAGATTTTACTGAGTTACAGTTCATATAAGGAAATCAGTCAATTGAATAAATTCATTAGGCCCTAATCTATGGATTTCACATGACTGGGAATACAGATATGTATCTGTTGGTCACAGATACCTTTAAAAAAAGGTAGGGGCCTGGATCAGAAAACCAGTCAGTATCTGGTGTGACCACCATTTGCCTCGTGCAGCGCGACACATCTCCTTCACATAGAGTTGATCAGGCTGTTGATTGTGGGACATTTTCAGCTTCCAGGAATTGTGTACAGATCCTTGCGACATGGGGCCGTGCATTATCATGCTGAAACATGAGGTGATGGCGGCAGATTAATGGCCTCACAATGGGCCTCAGGATCTCGTCACGGTATCTCTGTGCATTAAACTTACCATCTATAAAATGCAATTGTGTTTGTTGTCCGTAGCTTATGCGTGCCCGTACCATAACCCCACCGCCACCATGGGGCACTCTGTTCACAAAGTTGACATCAGCAAACCGCTCGCACATACGACGCCATACACGCTGTCTGCCATCTGCCCGTACAGTGGAAACCGGGATTAATCCGTGAAGAGCACACTTCTCCAGCGTGCCAGTGGCCATCGAAGGTGAGCATTTGCCCACTGAAGTCGGTTATGACGCTGAACTGCAGACAAGTACGCATATGAGCTTCCCTGAGATGGTTTCTGACAGTTTGTGCAGAAATTATTCGGTTGTGCAAACCCACAGTTTCATCAGCTGTCCGGGTGGCTGGTCTCAGACGATCCCGCAGGTGAAGAAGCTGGATGTGGAGGTCCTGGGCTGGCGTGGTTACACGCAGTCTGTGGTTGTGAGGCCGGTTGGACGTACTGCCAAATTCTCTAAAACAACCTTGGAGGCGGCTTATGGTAGAGAAATGGCAACAGCTCTGGTGGACATTCCTGCAGTCAACATGCCAATTGCACGCTCCCTCAAAACATGAGACATCTGTGGCATTGTGCTGTGTGAAAAAACTGCAGATTTTAAAATGGCCTTTTTATTGTCCCCAGCACAAGGTGCACCTGTGTAATGATCATGCTGTTTAATCAACTTCTTGATATGCCACACCTGTCAGGTGGATGGATTATCTTGGCAAAGGAGAAATGCTCACTAACAGGGATGTAAACAAATGTGTGCACAAAATTGGAGAGAAATAAGCTTTTTGTGCATATGGAAAATGTCTGTGGTCTTTTATTTCAGCTCATGAAACAAGGGCCCAACACTTTACATGTTGTGTTTCTATTTTTGTTCAGTATAATTGAAGTGGTAATGTGTATCTATTGAAGGAGAGGGTGTGAGTGTTATTATGGGAGGAGGAGGAGGAGGAGGAGGGGGGAGGAGGGGACATTAAAAGCCAATGGGAGGCGGGATGGGGCAGCTGCTGCACCGAAGGGGATGTTTTACACTTCACACAGCTGCCTGCCATGCTGACCCTGACCACAGTGCGTACAGAGGGATAGAAAGATGGAGGACAGGATGAAAAGAGGAGAAGAGGCTGTTGGTGACATCATTGCCCAGGGCACACAGTGCCACGGTCAGAGGCTGCAGAGGGAAATGTCCCTGGAAAGGTCCCTCTCACATTCCCATATACCACAGCTCCAAAGTACTGGAAATCTGCTACACAAACAGAGTGACTCAGAGTTAATCTCTAACTTGTCTCAGCAAACACATTGACTTTTTAATCATTATTGCTGAATGGGAGCTCAATGACACACAGTGTGTCACCACTTTAAGAGGGAGCTAAACTGTAGCTAGGTTTTTCTTACATTCTTTGTAGCCTCCCTTGTGGCCTCCCTTGTGGCCTCCCTTGTAGCCTCCCTTGTAGCCTCCCTTGTGGCCTCCCTTGTGGCCTCCCTTGTGGCCTCCCTTGTAGCCTCCCTTGTGGCCTCCCTTGTAGCCTCCCTTGTGGCCTCCCTTGTAGCCTCCCTTGTGGCCTCCCTTGTAGCCTCCCTTGTGGCCTCCCTTGTAGCCTCCCTTGTAGCCTCCCTTGTAGCCTCCCTTGACTGAGTTTCTCTCAAAGAATATGTCTTAGTCTTTGTCTTCACTCTTACCTTTGCCCTCCCCGAAATCAAGCACTCTTATCTTTTCCCTTTACAAAGTTTTTCTCTTTTACTGATTTGTCAAGTTGATCCTATAGGCTGACCAAATGTGATGCCCTGTCCAGTGTCCAGCCTCCCAAGTCCCTAAACGGCCCTGTCTGTCTGTCTCCAGCTACAGAGGATTCTGGGCCAAAGCGTTGCTCAGTAATTGATTTGATTTCAGTGAGGTGCCAGTCACTCCCGCAGGCTGAGAGGTACTGAGTGGCAGGGCCTTGAGCCCCTTCTAACCACACTGCTCTGCCCAATCACATCATTCTCGGAGGCAGGCAGGCAACGGCGGATGGGTGAGACCAGCAGACAGAGCAGCTCAGCCATCTCGCCAGCTAGGCACTCTGAGTACCCAACGTACCCAGCAGCATACTCCTGCCACCGCCGTTGCCGCAGCCGTCTGGTGCCCGAGCACAATAAAAAGACATTGGCTTCGTTGCACAGCAGCGGAAGAAATATAGTCAAATCTTAATAACGTAAAATGAGCTGGGAGCCTCTGGGATAGTCTGTGTAGGCCTAATAAAGAATAAACCCTGTGCATCCTCCTGACATTCTAATAAACTGCCCTTTCAATTTCATTTCAATGCAAATCATTTTTAAATATTTGCTGTTAATTATTATAACTTTAATCCTTAAATTAGACTGGCAAAAGGTCATTGTTCTTAATTAGACTTCCTGCCAATCCCCTGTGTCCTGCTTATTTCATTATAGCCAGATTACCAGTGTACTGTAGCTTCCCTAATCGTATGTGTGGGTTGATAGAGGTTGCTTGATTTCACACCAATTAAGAGGATATACGTATGTAACATTACAGTATATGAGCTGGTTGAAAAGCTTTACATACAGTATCATTGACTTTCCAAGTTAGGTTAAAAGGTGTCTCCTGTCACGTGGAATATTCGAAAGAACAAGGAACCGATTTGTAAATTGATTATTTGTTTGATATCAACAATGACATTCATCTGTGTCTCTCATCTAAAGTTCTTGGCTCTCACATGAGTAATTTATGCCTTACTACTGTACTGTACAGATGTAGGATCTTAATTTGATCACCCTGTTGCAGGAGAACTTTCCTGCAATGCAGGAAATGTAAAACTTGTAGTGTAGTGTGTGAAAAATGTATCAACCCCTACAGAAATGTCCATTAATTATAATCCACATAATAACTCACATTTCTTGTTGCTGCATGATTATTAGCTTGCTGTAGCAAACAGGATTAAGATCCTACATCTGTAAATCAAATGAGGGAATATGAAATACATCAATACAGAATGGGAGCACTAAACCAGGGTTAAATGACACACACTGAATATGGCACAGCAAGTCCAGAGCCTTAGAAGGAAATATCTATACTGAACAAAAATATAAACGCAACATGTAAAGTGTTGGTCCCATGTTTCAAGAGCTGAAATAAAAGATCCCAGAAATTTTCGGTGCACACAAAAAGAGTATTCCTCTCCAATTTTGTGCACAAATTTGTATACATCCTTGTTATTGAGCATTTCTCCTTTGCCAAGATAATCCATCCACCTGACAGGTGTGGCATATCAAGAAGCTGATTAAACAGCATGATCATTACACAGGTGTACCTTGTGCTGTGGACAATAAAAGGCCATTCTAAAATGTGCCGTTTTGTCACACAACACAATGCCACAGATGTCTCAAGTTTTGAGGGAGCGTGCAATTGGCATGTTGACTGCACGAATGTCCACCAGAGCTGTTGCCAGAAAATTGAATGTTTATTTCTCTACCATAAGCCGCTTCCAACATAATTTTAGAGAATTTGGCAGTACGTCCAACCGGCTTCACAACCGCAGACCACGTGTAACCACACCAACCTAGGACCTCCACATCCGGATTCTTCACCTGCGGGATCGTCTGAGACCAGCCACCCAGACAGCTGATGAAACTGAGGAGTATTTCTGTATGTAATAAAGCCCTTTTGTGGGGAAAAACTCATTCTGATTGGCTGGGCCTGGCTTCCCAGTGGGTTGACCTGTCTCCCAAGTGGGTGGCCTTGTGCCCTCCCAGGCCCACTCATGGCTGCGCCCCTGCCCAGTCATGTGAAATCCATAGATTAGGGCCTAATTAATTAATTTAAATTGACTTATATGAACTGTAACTAAGTTAAATCGTTGAAATTGTTGCATGTTGCGTTTATATTTTTGTTCAGTATATATGTATTATACATGAATAAAATCAATACAACATGCATATGATTCCAGACTCCCTCAGCTCAATATTGCAACATCAAAGGATCTGGATAATAGTGTAGCACTTACTGTGGTTTCTGCATGTACAGCAGGGCTGGGGTCAATTCGAATTGAAGGCAGTCAGTTCAGGAAGTAAACTGAAATAACAATTCAAAACCTGAATTTGTTTTATCTATTTTCAATGACCTTTCAATAAACTGAGTAGAAACTATTTATTTCAAAAGTTTCTCCATTTTAAAATGTTAAATTAAAATCACTTCCTGAATTGACTGCCTTCAATTCGAATTGACCCCAGCTCTGCAGTTCAGTGTGATGCATTTTCAATTCACTCAACTCTCTTATAGGATGTACAAGACCTTACGTAATCTGTGGGATGCAAGACAGCAAGACAATGTGCTTACATGTGTGTGGGGTGTCTTACATTTATTTTTGTACTTCCAAAACTATTACATAACATTGATTTTTTTTTTTTTCTTTTTTTTTTTTCAGACTGAGTGCAAGGTTAGCTCTTATGCATAAACAGCATTTTTATATAATCTATATAAACTGTTCACTTTAGTTTAGAGTAGGAGACTAAGACCAGCTCCATGTCTGTCTGTCTGTCTGTCTGTCTGTCTGTCCTGCTTCATTACATGGTATTTCTCTAGTCTAAACAGACAATGCAGTGTTGTCTGTGATCTGTTTTCATCAGACCAGCATTCATGATCTGTTGTCATCAGACCAGCATTCATGATCTGTTGTCATCAGACCAACATTCATGATCTGTTGTCATCAGACCAGCATTCATTATCTGTTGTCATCGGACCAGCATTTATTAGCTTGGCCTATGACTCCATTTAATTAGCCAAAATAAAAATAACATTGCAGATATGGTAGAAGAAGAAGAAAGTTTGCATAAGACAGATACTTTAAGATGATGTTTGGTTCCTTAAAACTTCGACATTATATGTTTTCAACATACTTCAAACAATTTAACATGACCATGAATAGAAATACACATATTGTGTTCCCATATTTGTCTTTAAAGTTGTTAAAGTTTCAAAGCATTTTTTGACCCAGTAATGGACATTTCAAACATGCATTCGGGTGCAATTTGACAATTAAAATACACAGCTAGCATGTTCCATCCATATAATTTTTTGTTGTTGTGTATTTTACCTCCTTTTTCTCCCAAATTTCGATCTTCTCTCATCGCTGCAACTCCCCAACAGGCTTGGGAGGCGAAGGTCGAGTCATGCGTCCTCCGAAACATGACCAGCCAAACCGTGCTTCTTAACACCCGCCCGCTTAACCCGGAAGCCAGTTGCCCCAATGTGTCGGAGGAAACACAGTTCAACTGACGATTGAGATCAGCCTGCAGGTGACGGCCCGCCACAAGGAGTCGCTAGAGCGCGATGAGCCAAAACCCTCCCCTAACCCGGACGACGCTGGGCCAATTGTGCGCCGCCCTATGGGACTCCCGATCACGGCCGGTTGTGATACAGCCCGGGATCTATCCCGGGTCTGTAGTGACGCCTCTAGCACTGCGATGCAGTGCCTTAGACCGCTGCATCACTCGGGAGGCCCATTCCATCCATATTCTAGTGGTCATACACCAGAACAGCCTCCCTCCCATTCCCCTGGAGGTTGCGGGAGAGTTGAGGGGAACTGAGAGTCTGGTAATTGCTTTGACCTTCAGTTGAGTTGACTTTACTCAACCAGGCCAGGCAGGCAGGCAGGGAAGGCTGGCAGGCTGCCTGTCCAGGGAATCATCTGACTGGGAGGGATGTTGACCCCAGTGACCGCCCGGGGTGAGCTGCTAGACACAGGGTCACAATACATGACTTGTCACACTCCACACACACTAGTTGTGCTTGAGTTGAAATACAGTGCCTTGCAAAAGTATTCATCCCCCCTTTTGTCCTATGTTGTTGCAGTACAACCTGTAATTTACCCTTTTTTCCTATGTTGTTGCAGTACAACCTGTAATTTAAATATATTTTTATTTGGATTTCATGTAATGGACATACACAAAATAGTCCAAATTGGTGAAGTGAAATGAAAAAAATAACTTGTTTCAAAAAATTCTAAAAGATAAATAACGGAAAAATGGTGCGTGCATATGTATTCACCCCCTTTGCTATGAAGTCCCTAAATAAGATCTGGTGCAACCAATTACCTTCAGAAGTTACATAATTAGTTAAATAAAGTCCAACCTGTGTGCAATCTAAGTGTCACATGATCTCAGTGTATATACACCTGTTCTGAAAGGCCCCAGAGTCTGCAACACAACTAAGCAAGTGGCACCACCAAGCAAGCGGCACCATGAAGACCAAGGAGCTCTCCAAACAGGTCAGGGACAAAGTTGTGGAGAAGTACAGATCAGGGTTGGGTTATAATAAAACATCCCACGGAGCACCATTAAATCCATTATAAAAATTGAAAGAATATGGCACCACAACAAACCTGCCAAGAGAGGGCCGCCCACCAAAACTCACGGACCAGGTAAGGAGGGCATTAATCAGAGAGGCAACAAAGAGACCAAAGATAACCCTGAAGGAGCTGCAAAGCTCCACAGTGGAGATTGGAGTATCTGTCCATAGGACCACTTTAAGCCGTACACTCCACAGAGCTGGGCTTTACGGAAGAGTGGCCAGAAAAAAGCCATTGCTTAAAGAAAAAAATAAGCAAACACGTTTGGTATTGGCCAAAAGGCATGTGGGAGACTCCCCAAACATATGAGCTTTTTGGCCATCAAGGAAAACGCTATGTCTGGCGCAAACCCAACACCTCTCATCACCCCGAGAACACCATCTCCACAGTGAAGCATGGTGGTGGCAGCATCATGCTGTGGGGATGTTTTTCATCGGCAGGGACTGGGAAACTGGTCAGAATTGAAGGAATGATGGATGGCGCTAAATACAGGGAAATTCTTGAGGGACACCTGTCCAACTTGAAGGAGCTGGAGCAGTTTTGCCTTGAAGAATGGGCAAAAATCCCAGTGGCTAGATGTGCCAAGCTTATAGAGACATACCCAAGAGACTTGCAGCTGTAATTGCTGCAAAAGGTGGCTCTACAAAGTATTGACTTTGGGGGGGATGAATAGTTATGCACGCTCAAGTTTTCTGTTTTCCTGTCTTATTTCTTGTTTGTTTCACCCAAAAAAATATTTTGCATCTTCAAAGTGGTAGGCATGTTGTGTAAATCAAATGATACAAACCCCCAGAAAATCAATTTTAATTACAGGTTGTAAGGCAACAAAATAGGAAATATGCCGAGGGGGGTGAATACTTTCATATGCATGCAGGTATAAGGGAAAGGGGAAGGGGATTCCTAGTCAGTTGTACAACTGAATGCATTCAACTGAAATGTGTCTTCCGCATTTAACCCAACCCCTCTGAATCAGAGACGTGCAGAGGGCTGCCTTAATCGACATCCACGTCTTCGGTGCCCGGGGAGCAGTGGGTTAACTGCCTTGCTCAGGGGCAGAGCGACAGATTTTTACCTTGTCAGCTCGGGAATTTGATCCAGCAACCTTTAGCCAAGCTTGGATCTGTCTTTTATAAAAATGTAGGAAGATAAGCAGTAAAGATTCTATCTGGTCTTGGTCATAGGCCTGTCTGATTGACACTTTTTGCAGTTTTTTGTAACACTTTATTGTAAAAGTTGTCTATAGTCATATGCTTTTATCTATAGAAACATGTAAAATACATGTAGCCTAACTGTAGAGACATGCTTTACCATACCATCCACGTACATTCATGTCTCAGGTGCTGTAGCTACCGCCATCGGGGATGGCTAAATGTGAAATGTAAAAATATGTGATTCAGCCTGTTAGGACAGTCATAACCACCTAAGCCACTCAATGTAATGATCTTGTCCTCGCTAGATTGGAACTCTGAACTACGTGAATGGAATGTGACGGTAGATATAACGGAGTCAAACAATTACAATAAAGGGGGATGAGAACCCAAGTCACCCCCTTGTCACGCGGAAAATATAATTCACAAATCATCTATAACAAAGGTAACAAGGTCATATCAAAGGCCTTTGGAATGTCTCACTATCAATAAATCGGCCTGCCAAATGTTTAATTAAACAAACAAATCAACAGCCAGGCCTATCTGATAGTGGTTTTGGAGGGATAGTTCACAGCTTTTTCTCCATGCTTTTGAAGCATGGCTTACTGATACAATCTGTTTCCACTAACATTGCTACATGGGACAATGGTACACTACAAAGGCCCTAGGGCTAGGAGAGTGAGAGGGGCCATGACAGTGGCATAGAAAGGGTGTAGAGGGGAGGAGATCCTATGAACTGAATGAGCCTTGGCCTGAGCCTGAGCAGAACCTTTCTTAGGGCTAGAGTAACACGCACGTTGCTCGTTGATCGCTAACATGTTACAGCGCTAAGATCAAAATCCTTTGGTCTTTCATTGTTGTGCTGTTCATTAGTATCTCTTCGACATCAAGCATGAGGGTTTAGCTACCTGCTCATTCATCTTCACAGAAAATTCCTCAACATGAACTGAATCAAATCCCTCGCCATCAAAACCTTAGTACTTCTTTCGATTACAAGATATTCCTTTTAAACAATGGAGATCGGGAGCTTTTATGGCTAGTTGATAGGAGGACAGAGCTGCAGCTACTACCAAAAAGAGTTTTGACATTGCAAGCTTCCTCAAGTTTTCCTTTAAACTTCTCATGTACAGAATATATTGTAACAAACGATGTGTCCAATAACACACTAGTAAGAAAAGAGAAACAAGACGTTCTGTCTGTTACCATAATAAAGAGCGCTTCCTCCTGCTCCGATCTTTACAATTGATTTTCTGACAGAGTATTTCAGCTTCACCTTCAGTGAGGCCAACAGACAGACACCCTGTGCCGCAGCAACACTCTTTCATCAAAAAGTTAATTCCAAATTCAGGGAGCTTTAAGACTTTTCAATAGGATATATTTATTAGTTGAATTCTAATGAATTCTAAATTCGGATAATCAATAACATAACCTTCTCTTCCGACATCAAAATCAGGTGTTTACGAAAACAGAGAAATCAGGTTCTATTTAGCAGTTGAACAGTGCTTTATCAGAGAGAGAAGCTACACCTATGAATAATACACACTTGATTGGTGGCAAGTCCTGTTGATATTAGCTATTAATATCTGTACGTCATCTATAGGCCGTCTTTTACATAAAAAAAACAAAATATTTATTTGTTTTATTTTTATTTGTTTAACAACAATACAATACAATACAGACAATACAAAATGGCCGCTCTATAGGCCGTCTTAAAGTATTTCAAGAGCAGCCATTAACTAAAAGAGAGGACAGATGTAGGATCTTAATTTTATCACCCTGTTGCAGGATAACTTTCCTGCAATGCAGGACATTTTAAACGTGTAGTGTATTTGAGGTTTAAAAGGCTTCTGAAGTTAGTTATTTCCACTTTGAAATTGCACACTTCATTGTCCCTTACGAAAAAAGTATCAACCCTCTACAAACATTTACATTAATTATAATCCTAATAATAATTCACATTTCCTGTTGCTGCAGGATTATTTTGCTGCTGTAGCAAATGTGCTCAAACTAGGCTCCTACATCTGTATTACGGGTGAAATATTGGACCCTCCACTCACCACTACCATAACAAAGGAGTAAGGGATGAATGGGCCATGGAGAGCCTGTCTGAGTCTCTAAGCATTGATGTCAGATTGAAAGTGTGCTATCAAAGGCATCAGACATCAGACGTGACAGAGAGTTGAGAGATAGTCATCCCTGCAAATATTCTAATTTCAGCGTGAGGGTGTCCTGAACAGGAGGTGATATGGCTGGAGTCTTTAGGTAACGGTTTTAGACATTCTGAGAATTATGTTCAAGAATTGCAGCTAATGCAAGTCACCAAAATCCCCCACCGGTGTCAATTTAACCTCATTAAAATGCAAGACTAATTTCCTCTCATTTTGGAAACTCATCATTAGCTATTAGTGAGATGGTAGCTTAGGGGTCCGTATGAAGGCCAGTGCTCTCTCTCCTCTCTCTCGTATCCCCACTCTATACATTACCCAGACACCACTGACACATGTTTTTAAGAAGTGTGTGCTTCTCTCAAATCCTCCCTCTCAACATCCCTACACACACACACAAGCACGCGCACACACACGCAAACACACACACACACACACACACACACACACACACACACACACACACACACCCTCAACCATGTCTGCCTACCCAGCCACCATCACTATCCGCAGCTCATTGTGGCCAATCAGCTCCTTCGTTTGGCCTGACTGCTCTGCACCAATTAGGTCAGCTCAGTGAGTTTGTCTGTCAACAGCCAAAGCTCTCTACACACCTCCCTCCATCTGCACTCATCTGCTCCCACAAATAACTTACAACCACTTTCCCATGTCTCTAGTCAGTGATATCTTACTCCAGTTCACTTCACCAGTGCTCTCTGAGACAATATATCCCTTTTACAATAACAGTCTGAGGTTGGCCTAGGGATACAAACAGGCAGACAAACACATCAAAAAGAACAACACTGAAGTGAGAAGTATTCTTAAATTAGACTTGACAGTAAAGGTTTGTACTTGTTTGGTTTCTAAGACAATATGAAAATACACTTACAGTGCCTTCAGAAAGTATTCATACCCCTTGACTTATTCCACTTGTTACAGCCTGAATTAAAAAAGGATTACATTTATAATTTTTCTCACCCATTTACACACAATACCCCATGATGACAAAGTGAAAACATGTTTTTAGAAATCTTAGCAAATGTATTGAAAATGAAATGCAGAAATACAAGTATTCACAGCCCTGAGTCAATACTTTGTAGAAGCACCTTTGGCAGCGATTACAGCTATGAGTTTTTCTGGGTTAGTCTCTAAGAGCTTTCCACACCTGAATTGTGCAACATTTGGCCATTATTCATTTCAGAATTCTTCAAGCTCTGTCGAATTGGCTATTGATCATTGCTAGACAACCATTTTCAGTCAAAACTGTAACTCCTTCACTCAGGAACATTCACTGTCTTCTTGGTAAAGCAACTCCAGTGTAGATTTGTCCTGCTGAAAGGTGAATTCCTCTCCCAGGGTTTGGTGGAAAGCAGACTGAACCAGGTTTTCCTCTAGGATTTTGCATGTGCTTAGTTCCATTCTATTTATTTTTTATCCTGAAAATCTCCCCAGTCCTTCTCGATTACAAGCATACACATAACATGATGCAGCCCCCACTATGCTTGAAAATATGGAGAGTGGTACTCAGTAATGTGTTGTATTGGATTTGCCCCAAACATAACACTTTGTATTGAGGACAAAAAGTGAATTGCTTTGCCATTTTTAAAAAGTATTACTTTAGTGCCTTGTTGCAAACAGGATGCATGTTTTGGAATATTTATATTCTGTACAGGCTTCCTTCTTTTCACTCTCTCATTTAGGTTAATATTGTGGATTAACTACAATGTTTTTGATCCATCCTCAGTTTTCCCTATCACAGCCATTAAACTCTGTAACTCTTTTAAAGTCACCATTGGCCTCATGGTGAAATCCCTGAGAAGTTTCCTTCCTCTCCGGCAACGGAGTTAGGAAGGACGCCTGTATCTTTGTAGTGACTGGGTGTATTGATACACCATCCAAAGTGTAATTAATAACTTCACCATGCTCAAAGGCATATTCAATGTCAGCTTTTTTTTTTTTACCAATCTATCAATAAGTCAAATCAAATCAAATTGTATTTGTCACATGCTTACTTACAAGCCCTTAACCAACAATGCAGTTTTAAGAAAAATAAGTGCCCTTCTTTGTGAGGCATTGGAAAACCTCCCTGGTCTTTGTGGTTGAATCTGTGTTTTAAATTCACTGCTCGGCTGAGGGGCCTTACAGATAATTGTGTGTGGGGGGTACAGAGATGAGGTGGTCATTCAAAAATCATTTTAAACACTATTATTGCACACAGAGTGAGTCCATGTAACTTATTATGGGACTTGTAAAGCACATTTATACTCATGAACTTATTTAGGCTTGCCATAGCACAGGGGTTGTATACTTACTGACTCAAGACATTTCAACTTGTAATCTTAAATTCATTTGTAAACATTTCGAAAAAGTCCACGTTGACATTATGGGGTATTGTGTGTAGGACAGTGACAAAAAAATCTAAATTAAATTTTAAATGAAGGCTATAACACACTATCATTGTATGATAATGCATAGAACACCTTCAAGCGTGTGTAGGTGGATAGCTACAGGTTCATGTACTCTAGAGTTTACATCTTGGCAATTCCTTCCACTGATTATTATCTGATCATTATATGATAAACAAAAAACACAACCACATTATAATGTGTATGAACTGTATTATAGACTATATTCACTCTCAATGTTATAGATACATTAAATAGGTGAGTTTGAGAGTGAGGAACTGTGCACTTTCAGTGGAATGAAATGTTTGACATGCCGACACAGACTGTCCTGGAAATGCTTTTGTTATGGACTCTCACAATCCTACTGCACCATGAGACAATAGCGGCCGTGGAGAGATTGTGTAGTGAGAAAGTCCAGGCTGTCACCCAGACCAGTGTGTGTGTGTGTTGACTGTCAGCTTTCTTTGTGTGTGTTTGTGTGCGTGCCTGGGTGTGTGTGTATGCTGTCAGGCATCTCGCTGTGGCACAGGAGGGAGGAATCCAAAGAGAAAATGAGGGGCAGATTACTGTCAACAAGGCCTTTGGATAACAGGGTTAATTTACATAGGAAAAACATGGCTGCCAAGGGCTGTTATTGAAAACAGATTGATGAGGGGACCCTCATGAATTAAAGAAGCTCTGAGCATAATGTGGCTTTATTGTGTTTACAGGGCTCCGTGTTAGAAGGACTTTAGGAGCTGGAGGGATCTGGCCATATAGCCTACTATTCTCCTACTATTAGAGACAGAGACATTCAGTACAATCCCTCTGGGGAACAAGCCAAGAACCATGTTGAATGTTTCTAACAACAAAAACTCACCAAGTGAACCTTCATTGCATTACAAAAGCCTAGGACACTGACACTCAGCACACACTGTCAGTCACACAACAGTTATTGTTGTGCACAGCTCCAGCAAAAGCTCCCGGTACTTTAGCAGTATACTGATGTCGTCACAAGTACAAACACTTGGGATTCCCTTTGAAGAGAGCTTTACTAAGCAGAAGTTCATTCTTTTAATGTGCTTTAGAAAATGTCAAGATGTGAGCAGATTGGAAGAGATGCTTTCAAGCCCTCCCTGGATGCTTCAGGTTTCCTCCTCTTCAGTGGGATGTGTATGGGAGGCAATAAAGGCTGAGTTTGGCTGTGGGAGAGGTCTGCAGCAATTTCTTCTGAAGCAGTCAAGTATTCAGATGAAAGTGAAGGAAAGCTATGCAGGCTGGCATGCCCCCTGCCCCCTGCCTTCATCCCCTCCTCCCAACCCTCCCGTGACAATCTCAGTGAAATGAAGCCTTCAGAAAAAAAGACAGATAGTCAAAATGACAGACAGAAACGCTTAGGATGTGTTTATGAGATGGAGGAAAGACATTCCAGTCAAAAGGAAGGGAGTCTGTGAAGTGTCTGGAGAGGAAAAGATACAGATGCACTTTGTCGACTTCCAGACTGACGATAACTGAAAGAAACTCTAAACTTTGTTTACAGCAAAATCGGAATTGTCCATGAAATGGTCTGAAATGTTTGGGAACTAATTTACAGGTTTCTGTCCAGGAAAAGACCCTGTGTGTTTGCATAGCTAGTGCATGTTGCCTATGACATTTGCATATAACCTCCAGAACCATACAGTGCTATATCGTATGACACTGTTAACATACTGCTCTACCACTATAGGAAATCTGCATGCTCTGTAAAGCTATGCAAACAAAACAATCTACATTTCCATTCAATATTAATGTGAGTATTCTACCAGGTAAACAGCACCGGTCGGATTAACCCCAGCAATATTGTTTCCCTGTGCACACCTGTGGGTGCTGTGAGGCATATCTCTCCTCCATGCCCAGGATTAGAGATTTGTTAGGAAATCTTGGGCTTTGTCCTCCATATTATCAGCGCTAATGCCCCACTGGATGTTTGAGATTCCCCTGTAATCCTGGGCTTACTGGAGCCCATGAACTGTGTGCCTTTGGACAAGACTTTCTCCCCTGGTGTAGTGGTGTCCACCAGGCCTCAACAGAGTACACTGGCAGAGTGGACAGAGTCAAACATGGGTGCATAGGCTACATCCTAACTTTTATATATAACTGTGAAGGGAAAGCCTCTCTCATCCCCTGCAAAAGCATTTAAAGTGTGTGGAGGGCACAAACAAACACGTTTGACCAATTGTAATGGAATGTGTATAGCCACTATAGCCAGACTGTACAAAGATGAGTTGGATCCACAGTTCTGCAGAAACCAGATAAAGTATTCGTCAGCATAACTATGTGTCTAAATTCCTCAATATTAGCGTTTTTGCTAGTTCCTCTTTCACAGTAGAAACATAAAAAGAAGCATTTCATGTGCATTAATTACAAACTCATATGGGATCTGTAAATATTAATACAACATTTAAATTACGAGCCTAGTTTAGCCATGGAGAAAGCACTGAGCTATATAGAGAGAAAGACAGGATCCTTTCTGGCTAGCCATGATTGGCTGAGATAATGCAGGGGTTGGACATGCCGAGAGATTAGTTCTGATTGGTCTGTCATGTCACAGGCTTCTGTCTGTAACAGAATGTGGGCTTCCCTGGTCTGTATACTGTATATGAACGTTTTCTGAAGTGAAAATGGTGAGTGATGTCAGAAATCAAATCACAGTCATGAGATAAGCTCAAACAATAAACAGCAGATGGTTGGGATATGATTACAAAGCACTATAGTTTTATATCACAGGAGGTTGGTGGCACCTTAATTGGGGAGGACGGGCTCGTGGTAATGGCTAGGATGGAATAAGTGGAATGGTATCAAATACATCAAACACATGGTTTCCAGGTGTTTGATGCCATTCCATTTTCTCCATTCCAGCCATTATTATGAGCTGTCCTCCCCTCAGCATCCACTGTTTTATATCTATTTTTCAAGCGACAATCATTGCTGGTTGAGGAAACTTTCATATAAAACAAAGTATAGAAACGTATACCTCAGTAAAAGGCAATTCAATTCAGTTTCAAGCCATGTCATTGTTTATCAGACTATGCCAGGTTTTATTGTACAGGGAAGTATATTGTAAGATCAGCCTCACAAGCCAAGAAAGGGGTTAGGCCTGTCTTTCAAATACTGATGTCTCTGTGCAAAATCGCAAAGCTGAGCTGACAGGCAACCAGACACTGCCAGTTGGTTGAAATTAGACAATTGTTCCTCGATAAACTACTGGAACACCTCTCAAACAATGCAGCAGTCTACTCTGCGGTATCCTGCCCGAACGTGCCCAGCGAGCAGAAGATTCACAAAGGGAAGAATCCTGTGGCGGCCGTCCAAAACCCTGATAGCTTAAGACTGTCTGTAAAAAGCATTAGGCAATATTTCCCCTGTCATGTAGTGTGGACTGTTAGGGCTAGCAGGCGTGGTGGAAAGGCCGGGCTGACAGAAAGAGCTCCCCAGAGATCGCATTTACTTTAAAATTGCCCCAGCTCTAGATTGAGCTGACCCAAGCCTCTTGAGGATGATATAGCGGGGGATATATAGGGGGATATATAGGGGGATACAGTATATGAGATATATAGGGGGTGATATAGAGGGGGATATATAGGGGGATACAGTATATGAGATATATAGGGGGTGATATAGAGGGGGATATATAGGGGGATACAGTATATGAGATATATAGGGGGTGATATAGAGGGGGATATAGAGGGGGATATATAGAGGGGGATATAGAGGAGAATATAGAGGGGGATATAGGAGGCTACAGAGGGGGATATAGAGGGTGATATAGAGGGGGATATATAGGGGGTGATATATAGAGGGGGATATATAGAGGGGGATATAGCGGAGAATATAGAGGGGGATATAGGAGGCTACAGAGGGGGATATAGAGGGGGATCTAGCGGGGGATATACCGTATGACAGTGATGTCCTGCCGATGTTGTAAGCACTTTCTTCACGTTTTCCTGCTTTTTTTGCAACAAGCAATGCAACTAGAGACAACATACTCCACAGGAATCTTTACTCACAACTTATAGCATGGAAATGTAACATGTACAGTTCAAGTCGGAGGTTTACATACAGTGGGGAAAAAAAGTATTTAGTCAGCCACCAATTGTGCAAGTTCTCCCACTTAAAAAGATGAGAGAGGCCTGTAATTTTCATCATAGGTACACGTCAACTATGACAGACAAAATGAGGAAAAAAATTCCAGAAAATCACATTGTAGGATTTGTAATGAATTTATTTGCAAATTATGGTGGAAAATAAGTATTTGGTCAATAACAAAAGTTTCTCAATAATTTGTTATATACCCTTTGTTGGCAATGACACAGGTCAAACGTTTTCTGTAAGTCTTCACAAGGTTTTCACACACTGTTGCTGGTATTTTGGCCCATTCCTCCATGCAGATCTCCTCTAGAGCAGTGATGTTTTGGGGCTGTCGCTGGGCAACACCGACTTTCAACTCCCTCCAAAGATTTTCTATGGGGTTGAGATCTGGAGACTGGCTAGGCCACTCCAGGACCTTGAAATGCTTCTTACGAAGCCACTCCTTCGTTGCCCGTGCGGTGTGTTTGGGATCATTGTCATGCTGAAAGACCCAGCCACGTTTCATCTTCAATGCCCTTGCTGATGGAAGGAGGTTTTCACTCAAAATCTCACGATACATGGCCCCATTCATTCTTTCCTTTACACGGATCAGTCGTCCTGGTCCCTTTGCAGAAAAACAGCCCCAAAGCATGATGTTTCCACCCCCATGCTTCACAGTAGGTATGGTGTTCTTTGGATGCAACTCAGCATTCTTTGTCCTCCAAAACACGACGAGTTGAGTTTTTACCAAAAAGTTATATTTTGGTTTCATCTGACCATATGACATTCTCCCAATCCTCTTCTGGATCATCCAAATGCACTCTAGAAAACTTCAGACGGGCCTGGACATGTACTGGCTTAAGCAGGGGGACACGTCTGGCACTGCAGGATTTGAGTCCCTGGCGGCGTAGTGTGTTACTGATGGTAGGCTTTGTTACTTTGGTCCCAGCTCTCTGCAGGTCATTCACTAGGTCCCCCCGTGTGGTTCTGGGATTTTTGCTCACCGTTCTTGTGATCATTTTGCCCCACGGGGTGAGATCTTGCGTGGAGTCCCAGATCGAGGGAGATTATCAGTGGTCTTGTATGTCTTCCATTTCCTAATAATTGCTCCCACAGTTGATTTCTTCAAACCAAGCTGCTTACCTATTGCAGATTCAGTCTTCCCAGCCTGGTGCAGGTCTACAATTTTGTTTCTGGTGTCCTTTGACAGCTCTTTGGTCTTGGCCATAGTGGAGTTTGGAGTGTGACTGTTTGAGGTTGTGGACAGGTGTTTTTATACTGATAACAAGTTCAAACAGGTGCCATTAATACAGGTAACGAGTGGAGGACAGAGGAGCCTCTTAAAGAAGAAGTTACAGGTCTGTGAGAGCCAGAAATCTTGCTTGTTTGTAGGTGACCAAATACTTATTTTTCACCATAATTTACAAATAAATTCATAAAAAATCCTACAATGTGATTTTTTGGAAAAAAAATTCTGAATGTGTCTGTCATAGTTGACGTGTACCTATGATGAAAATTACAGGCCTCTCTCATCTTTTTAAGTGGGAGAACTTGCACAATTGGTGGCTGACTAAATACTTTTTTACCCCACTGTACACCTTAGCCAAATACATTTAAACTCAGTTTTTCACTATTCCTGACATTTAATCCTAATAAAAATTCCCTGTCTTAGGTCAGTTAGGATCACCACTTTATTTTAAGAATGTGAAATGTCAGAATAATAGTAGAGAGAATGATTTATTTCAGCTTTTATTTCTTTCATCACATTCCCATTGGGTCAGAAGTTTACATACACTCAATTAGTATTTGGTAGCATTGCCTTTAAATTGTTTAACTTGGGTCAAACGTTTCGGGTAGCCTTCCACAAGCTTCCCACAATAAGTTGGGTGAATTTTTGCCCATTCCTCCTGACAGAGCTTGTGTAACTGAGTCAGGTTTGTAGGCCTCCTTGCTCACACACGCTTTTTCAGTTCTGCCCACAAACTTTCTATAGGATTGAGGTCAGGGCTTTGTGATGGCCACTCCAATACCTTGACTTTGTTGTCCTTCAGCCATTTTGCCACAACTTTGGAAGTATGCTTGGGGTCATTGTCCATTTGGAAGACCCATTTGTGACCAAGCTTTAACTTCCTGACTGATGTCTTGAGATGTTGCTTCAATATATCCACATAATTTTCCTTCCTCATGATACCATCTATTTTGTGAAGTGCACCAGTCCCTCCTGCAGCAAAGCACCCCCACAGCATGATGCTGCCACCCCCGTGCTTCACGGTTGGAATTGTGTTCTTCGGCTTGCAAGCCACCCCCTTTTTCCTCCAAACATAACGATGGCCATTATGGCCAAACAGTTCTATTTTTGTTTCATCAGACCAGAGGAGCAGTGGCTTCTTCCTTGTTGAGCGGCCTTTCAGGTTATGTCGATATAGGACCCGTTTTACTGTGGATATAGATACTTTTGTACCTGTTTCCTCCAGCATCTTCACAAGGTCCGTTGCTGTTGTTCTGGGATTGATTTGCACTTTTCACACCAAAGTACGTTCATCTCTAGGAGACAGAACGCGTCTCCTTCCTGAGCGGTATGATGGCTGCGTGGTCCCATGGTGTTTATACTTGCGTACTATTGTTTGTACAGATGAACGTGGTACCTTCAGGTGTTTGGAAATTGTCCCAAGGATGAACCAGACTTGTGGAGGTCTACATTTTTTTTTCTGAGGTCTTGGCTGATTTCTTTTGATTTTCCCATGATGTCAAGCAAAGAGGCACTGAGTTTGAAGGTAGGCCTTGAAATACATCCACAGGTACACCTCCAATTGACTCAAATGATGTCAATTAGCCTATCAGAAGCTTCTAAAGCCATGACATCATTTTCTGGAATTTTCCAAGCTGTTTAAAGGCACAGTCAACTTAGTGTATGTAAACTTCTGACCCACTGGAATTGCGATACAGTGAATTATAAGTGAAATAATCTGTCAACAATTGTTGGAAAAATTACTTTTGTTATGTACATAGTAGATGTCCTAACCGACTTGCCAAAACTATAGTTTGTTAGCAAGAAATTTGTGGAGTGGTTGAAAAACGAGTTTTAATGATTCCAACCTAAGTGTATGTAAACTTCCGACTTCAACTGTACATTTGCATGTGTGCAATTTGTTGTGTTTGTGGGGGTTCTTACATTACGGACATTACATTAAATGTGTATTGTAAGCCATTAATAATACATGTAAATGTTAAATTACTCATTGCGTGTTGCCCATGTCTAATCTCAATGTGTTAGCTGCTTTGTGATTCATCGCATGCATGCACACACAAACACACACACACACAGACACGCACGCACGCACGCACACAGAGAGATTGTGTTGTTAAGCATTCCAAGGATGTCAATTGTATGCAAATGGCATGCACCATACTGTTAGAGGAAATGGAAAGTTCACAGCACTGTTACATCAGAGAACACTGAAGGCACTCACCACATTGTCTTGGTTAGAGGACAACATTACAGCATTAGCCATTTCATCAGGGTTCTCATTAACTTCATACTGTGAATTCGAAAATAGCTAGCACAATACAAATATTAGCATGATGGGGATCATCATAAAACACCCAATAATAATGATATCTGGAATACAAATCTTTGGCAAGGAGAATACACCTGGACCAAGGTCCTACTGTCCATTTTCTTAAGAACAGACTACTCAAAGGGGCAATCTTTTCAATAACTTCTTCACTGAAATGGTGTATTGCTTTCTATCTATGCTATGAATATGGCCCCCTCACTTGAAACTCATCAATATGTAATCATCATGTTTGACACCCTCACTCTCTTCAATTGTCCTCTCATCGGTTCCACAGCCCACTCCATACAGGATGACAGTTGGTTGAGTTCAAGGTCAACAATCTCCACAGTCCACAACACTTCAACAAATGCCTGTATAAGTCATGGCTACCAGAGCCAGAATGGGACCATTAATAAACAGTGGAAAGAACTTTCAGAATAACAGTACACTCTTAGAAAAAAAGGTGCTATCTAGAACCTAAAAGGGTTCTTTGGCCTTCCACATAGGAGAACCCCTTGAAGAACCCGTTTTGTTCCAGGTAGAACCCTTTGGTTCCAGGTAGAACCCTTTTGGGTTTTCTACATGGAACCCAAAAGAGTTCTACCTGGAACCAAAAAGGGTTATACCTGGAAGGAACCAAAAAAGGTTATCCTATGGGGACACCCGAAGAACCCTTTTGGAACCCTTTTTTCTAAGCGTGTAGGCGATACAAATGATACAAATCAAAACTTGCTCATACAGCTCAATTATTTTAATGCCGAGAAATAGGATGGCAATTGTAGCTATTTTGTCATGCTTACACATTAATCTTCATTCATTATTTACACGAATATCCAGCGTAACATTGTAATAAAGTGTTCAGAAACCTTTCTTTTGATTCTGTCCTTACTTAATGTAAATACCAGAGCATGGAGATTAACATTCTGAGTTTCACCTCGAGCGCTTGCCCTATGGTGTCTCTTAATTCAGATTAATCCATATTTTCCCCCGCCTTATCTTCTTGAGTCTACTGTTATGTACCAGTGTTTAGCAGAAACTATTTCCCTTCCCTGGCTAGAAATTGATTCTGAGCTCCTTCAGTAGCATTTCCCAAGGTCAGCAGCAGAATTAGAAAATGTAATCACCCCAAAACTGGACAATATTGTTTCCCGTGCGACATTGTCAAATGATGAGCACGGAATGTTATAATCTAGCCTTATCGTGTGAGAATGAAAGCGCATTCTACAACACCCAATAGCCAGTGTCTCAATTCAACAAAATAGAAGGAATTGCTGTGGCTTAGAGCTACAGTGCCTTGCAAAAGTATTCATCCCCCTTGGCATTTTTCCTATTTTGTTGCATTACAACCTGTAATTTAAATTGATTTTTATGTGGATTTCATGTAATGGACATACACAAAATAGTCCAAATTGGTGAAGTAAAATAAAATAAATAACGGAAAAGTGCTGCGTGCATATATATGCACCCCCTTTGCTATGAAGCCCCTAAATAAGATCTGGTGCAACCAATTACCTTCAGAAGTCACATAATTAGTTAAATAAAGTCCACCTGTGTGCAATCTAAGTGTCACATGATCTGTCACATGATCTCAGTATATATACACCTGTTCTGAAAGGCCCCAGAGTCTGCAACACCACTAAGCAAGGGAGTACCACCAACTAAGTGGCACCATGAAGACCAAGGAGCTCTCCAAACAGGTCAGGGACAAGGATGTGTAGGTAGATATTTATATTATTTTATTAAGCCATTATATAAATGGCCTACGTAGGATCACATTTAAAAAAAAGAACTCTGTTGGCAACATTGATGTATGATAGAGATTGGTTAGCTGACAACGTCACGAAAACGATGTGCACGCTTCAATGAGGCAGAAGTCCGCAAGTTGATTCTTGATGGCCAGATAGCTACCAACAATGACATTAAACTGCCATGTGGGGAATAGTTTCGGCTAGTTTTATCTTGTTCTTGAGACCATGTCTTGTTTTGAAATCTTTTGACTGATTTCATGTCAATGCTAACGTGGCTAAAATTCGCTACCTAGCTAACCAACAACTGTAACAACGTATTTCAGAGACAACAAGTGCTCTTTGTGCAAATGTATTGATGTTTTTAATAAACATTGGAGACTAAATATAGTTTACATGTTGTCAACAATCTAAGCCAACCCCATCTGTTTTGCTCCATAGTTGCGAATGCGTCGGTTGTGTTGCTAAACAACCAACCCATCTATGATATAGGAGATGGCATTCCAAAGCAAACAGATGACAGGTGTAGACTATGTGTTGACAGGCCAGTGCACCGCAGTGGATGAATGACAGGGGGCTATGAGAACACCGGTCACGGTCACATCCACAAACAGTCATAACACGACCACCAGACTGCTCTTTGAATTCTGGAAGCATCTGCATCTTATACAGTAAGGACCATTACTAATCTGTGTCCAATGTAATTCTATCACTATTTAATTTCATAACCAATTTCAATCAGTAATATAACTTTTGCAAGAGTGTTTCGATTTCATTCCTATGGTTTGAATTATACTTTGATATCAAAGTAGCTCAGTTGGTAGAGCATGGCACTTGCAACGCCAGAGTTGTGGGTTCGATTCCCACGGGGGGCCAGTATGAAAAATGTATGCACTCACTAACTGTAAGTCGCTCTGGATAAGAGCGTCTGCTAAATGACTAAAATGTAAAAATCACAGCCATGTCTTACAACAACCAATCGTTCTACTTTTTTGAGTGATTGAAAAGTAAAAACAGACAAGTTGAAAGTGGCAGCACTGCCACAGGTGATTGTGGCCCGTATCCAGAGTATCCTATCATATATTTGCAAGTGACAAGAAGTCGAACAGAACAGGCCGCTCTATCATCCATCTGAAACGTGTCAACATTCCCTATGATCAGTCGGCCCTCACAGCATTGTCGGAAAGACAAAGGATCCCACGTGGGTTATGAGCCTTTTCCTGAACGCACCAATTCTGCATGTTTTTTTTTCTGTTGCTCATTAAGAAACATTTAATTTAAAGTCTTGGGTGTGTGGTTCGATGGAGCAGTTACTGATGTTTGTCCCCCATCATACACCATAGGAACAAAGCCAGCATCACTTCCTCAAAATATTCAGAATTAATCTAAGATGACTCAAGGAATCTGTAATTCATGTTGACATATTTGCCAAGGAGGTTTTAGTCACGCAATTTTACATCTAGCTAAGGTGTTTGGTATTTCTCAAGTAAAGAAATGCGCCACGTTGTCTGACAGTATGTAAACAAAGTCCAATCTGCTGCGCTGCTGGGCAGGTCTTTCTCACTGTCTGTGTGTTCTGACGTACCATTTGGAGAGCGCAATCCCCTCAGCTGTTTATCCCGTGTTAGTGGGCATTGTCGAATTCAAAACCCAACCCTCAAGTAAGTCACAACGAACTCTTTTACTCAAATCTCAAGAAACTGTCTTGCACCTTGTAGTCAATTTTGGCACTGGAATAAATGCTTCGGACTAATATCGATGTCACATATGCCGTTTTCAACGAGAGAAGTTGGTTCTCGAGTTCAGTTCTTCTTTAAGATTCTCTATGAGGTGGCCGTCCTCTCTCACTTCTCCCTCCATTAGCCATGCCCACTCTCCTCCACAGCCATCCCATAATGCCCCTCAGCATCTCATCTGTCCCTGGGCTAAACGCTCTATTGTTGCCATTTCACCCAATAGCAGGAAATTAACATTCAACAGCAGAGTGGTGCAGATCAGCCAATATACGGACTAATGTGTTTCATTAAGATGTCAGGGAGGGCCTTCCATTAACTGATCAACCTTTGACATGCTGTTTCAGAGGCAGAGACAGGTAGGAAACAGAAAAGACAGAGTTGAAAGAATAGAAATATCAAGACATCAGAGAGTGGAGATATAGCTGATCAACATGAACAGGTCTGAACTGGAGGAGCTATAGGAGGACGGGCTCATTATAATGGCTGGAATGGAATAAATAGAATGGTATCAAACACATCAAACATATGGAAACCACAGGTTTGACTCCGTTCCATTTATTCCATTCCAGCCATTATAATGAGCCTGTCCTACATATAGCTCCTCCCACCAGCCTCCTCTGGTCTGAACCCATGATGTACTGTCTGCATCTCTCTTCTATCATAGTCTGACTAAGAGGAGTCTAACCAAGCTCACCTTCTGTCTTATCTCCTCCTCCATTTTAACTGGAGACCCCAGCTCTGCCACCTGTTTCACCCCTTCACTGGCGAAGCCCCCGTACTCCCAAAGGACATAGCTCCTGGAGTGGGATGACCCGATGAGGGCTGACCAATGATTGGCACGTCCTGTATACAAGGAAACAAAGAGACAATTTGACAAAGACATAAAGTGTGTGTGTGTGTGTGTAGAGGCTGACAGATCGCTCCTGGCTTTGACCTTGCATGTACTGTAGCTGGAAGGTCATTGTTAGTTACAACGTGAGGCCCGCACTACCATTGCTGGAGCCCTCATCATTACTGAGAGAGTTGAGGCTGGAATAGACCCTGTCACACCACACACATACTGTATACAGTATACAGTGCATTTGGAAAGTATTCAGACCCCTTGACTTTTTCCACATTTTGTTACATTACAGTCTTATTCTAAAATTGATTAAATTGTTTTTTTCCGCATCAATGTACACACAATACCCCATAATGACAAAGCAAAAACAGGTTTTTAGACATTTTTGCACATGTATAAAAAAAACCCGGAAATATAACATTTACATCAGTATTCAGACCCTTTACTGTACTTTGTTGAAGCACCTTTGTCAGGTTTGATGGGGAGTGTCGCTGCACAGTTATTTTCAGGTCTCTCCAGAGATGTTCGATCGGGTTCAAGTCCGGGCTTTGGCTGGGTCACTCAAGGACATTCAGAGACTTGTCCCGAAGCCACTCCTGTGTTGTCTTGGCTGTGTGCTTAAGGTTGTTGTCCTGTTGGAAGGTGAACCTTCGCCCCAGCCTGAGGTCCTGAGTGGTCTGGAGCAGGTTTTCATCAAGGACCTCTCTGTATTTTGCTCCATTCATTTTTCCCTCGATCCTGACTAGTCTCCCAGTCCCTGCCGCTGAAAAACATCCCCACAGCATGATGCTGCCACCACCATGCTTCACCGTAGGGATGGTGCCAGTTTCCTCCAGACGTGACGCTTGGCATTCAGGCCAAAGAGTTCAATCTTAGTTTCATCAGACCAGAGAATCTTGTTTCTCATGGTCTGAGAGTCCTTTAGGTGCCTTTTGGCAAACTCCAAGCAGACTGTCATGTGCCTTTTACTGAGGAGTGGCTTCTGTCTGGCCACTCTACCATAAATGCCTGATTGGTGGAGTGCTGCAGAGATGGTTGTCCTTCTGTAAGGTTCTCCCATCTCCTCAGAGGAACTCTGGAGCTCTGTCAGAGTGACCATCGGGCTCTTGGTCACCTCTCTGACCAAGGCCCTTCTCCCCCGATTGCTCAGTTTGGCTGGGTGGCCAGCTCTAGGAAGAGTCTTGGTGGTTCCAAACTTCTTCCATTTAAGAATGATGGAGGCCACTGTGTTCTTGGGGACCTTCAATGCTGCAGAAAGTTTTTCGTACCCTTCCCCAGATCTGTGCCTCGACACAATCCTGTCTCGGACCTCTACGGACAATTCCTTTGACCTCATGGCTTGGTTTTTGCTCTGACATGCACTGTCAACTGTGTGACCATATATAGACAGGTGTGTGCCTTCCAAATCATGTCCAATCAATTGAATTTACCACAGGTGGACTCCAATCAAGTTGTAGAAACATCTCAAGGATGATCAATGGAAACAGAATGCAATTTCGAGTCTCATAGCAAAGGGTCTGAATACTTATGTAAATAAGGTATTTCTTTTTTATTTTAATAAATGTTCATCTATTTTTAAAAACCTGTTTTCGCTTTGTTATTGTGGGGTATTGTGTGTACATTGATGAGGATTTCTATTTATTTAATCCATTTTAGAATAAGGCTGTAACGTAACAAAATGTGGAAAAAGTAAAGGGGTCTGAATACTTTCCGAATGCGCTGTATATGTATACAGTCAGGTACAAAATTATTGGCACCCTTGATAAAGATGAGCAAAAAAGACTGTATAAAATAGATAATGCAATACTGAGCTATATTATATGCTCAACATTTTATTTTTATTGTATTATTTTATACTAATACAATTGCTCAGAGAAATATATTTTGTACAGGCCTCCTGTTGCTCAGTTGGTAGAGCATGGCGCTTGCAACACCAGGGTTGTGGGTTCGATTCCCACGGGGGGCCAGTATGAAAAATGTATGCACTCACTAACTGTAAGTCGCTCTGGATAAGAGCGTCTGCTAAAATGACTCAAATGTAAAATGTACAACAAAAGTATTGGCACCCGTGTTTTCAATACCTCACCTTAAAAGGATAACGGCACTGAGCGTTTTTATAAATGTTTTATGAGTTTGGGGAACAGATTTGGAGGGATCTTAGACCATTCCTCCATACAGATTTTTTTCAGGTCCTTGATGTCCTTCGTCTGCGCTTATGGACTGCCCTCTTCAATTCAAACCACAGGTTTTCAATGGAATTCAAGTCTGGAGACTGAGATGGCCATTGTAAAATGTTGATTTTTGTGGACAATTAACAATTTCTTTGTGGATTTTGATGTGTGCTTGGGGTTGCCTTGCTGGAATATCCACTTCAGGCCAAGTTTTAGCCTCCTGGCAGAGGCAACCAGGTTTTTGGCTAAAATGTCCTGGTACTGGGTAAAGTTCATGATGCCGTTGACCTTAACAAAGGGCACCAGGACCAGTGGAAGCAAAATAGCCCCATGTGTGTGTTTCCAAAGAGTTATATTTTCATGTCATCTGACAATAGCACTGGTTGCAATCCAAGTGCCGATGCCGTTTAACAAACTCCAAGCATTTACATTTGCTGGATGACATGAAATTAGAGCTCTTTGGCTAGGCACACCAGTGGTGGGTTTGGCGTCAAAACCTGGTTGCCTCTGCCAGGAGGCTGAATTTTGTCCGGAAGTGGATCTTTCAGCAAGACAATAACCCCAAGCACACATCAAAATCCACAAAGAAATGGTTAATTGACCACAAAATCAACATTTTGCAATGGCCATCTCAGTCTCCAGACTTTTATTCCATTGAAAACCTGTGGTTTGAATTGAAGAGTGCAGTCCATAAGCGCAGATGAAGGATATCAACGATCTGGAAAGATTCTGTATGGAGGAATGGTCTAAGATCCCTCCCTCCCAATGTGTTCTCCAATCCAATAAAACGTTTACTAAAAAGGCTCAGTGCCCTCTTCGCAAGGTGAGATATTGAAAGGTATTGAAAACAGGGGTGCCAATCATTTTAACCCCTATCTTTTTGAAAAAACAACAAATTACTTGTTAAACAAAATCAATTTTTTGAGCAATTTAATTAGTATAAAATAATTGTCAAAAAAATCATATTGAGCATAGCTCAGTATTTGTATTATTTATTTTATACAGTCTTTTTACTCATCTTAATCAAGGGTGCCAATAATTTTGGACCTGACTGTACAGTGTATATATAACGCTATCAAAAAACAACTGATGCTTTGAACTATGGTCACTCAGTGCTCTCCTCAGAAACCTTTGAATGTAATTGTGTTTTTCCATGATACGTTTCCCTTTGTGAAAGATTCTATATACAGTCGTGGTCAAATGTTTTGAGAATGACAGTATTGGTCTTCACAAAGTTTGCTGCTTCAGTGTTTTTAGATATTTTTGTCAGATGTTACTATGGTATACTGAAGTATAATTACAAGCATTCCATAAGTGTCAAAGGCTTTTATTGACAATTACATTGGGTTTATGCAAAGAGTCAATATTTGCAGTGTTGACCCTTCTTTTTCAAGACCTCTGCAATCCGCCCTGGCATGCTGTCAATTAACTTCTGGGCCACATCCTGACTGATAGCAGCCCATTCTTGCATAATCAATGCTTGGAGCTTGTCAGAATTTGTGGGTTTTTGTTTGTCCACCTGCCTCTTGAGGATCGACCACAAGTTCTCAATGGGATTAAGGTCTGGGGAGTTTCCTGGCCATGGACCCAAAATGTCGATGTTTTCTTCCCCGAGCCACTAAGTTATCACTTTTGCCTTATGGCAAGGTGCTCCATCATGCTGGAAAAAGCATTGGTCATCACCAAACTGTTCTTGGATGGTTGGGAGAAGTTGCTCACGGAGGATGTGTTGGTAGCATTCTTTTTTCATGGCTGTGTTCTTAGGCAAAATTGTGAGTGAGCCCACTCCCTTGGCTGAGAAGCAACCCCACACATGAATGGTCTCAGGATGCTTTACTGTTGGCATGACACAGGACTGATGGTAGCGCTCACCTTGTCTTCTCCGGACAAGGTGTTTTCCGGATGCCCCAAACAATCGGAAAAGGGATTAATCAGAGAAAATGACTTTACCCCAGTCCTCAGCATCCCTGTACCTTTTGCAGAATATCAGTCTGTCCCTGATGTTTTTCCTGGAGAGAAGTGGCTTCTTTGATGCCCTTCTTGACACCAGGCCATCCTCCAAAAGTCTTCACCTCACTGTGCGTGCAGATGCACTCACACCTGCCTGCTGCCATTCCCGAGTAAGCTCTGCACTAGTGGTGCCCTGATCCCGCAGCTGAATCAACTTTAGGAGACGGTCCTGGCGCTTGCTGGACTTTCTTGGGCGCCCTGACGGCTTCTTCACAACAATTGAACCTCTCTCCTTGAAGTTCTTGATGATCCAAAAAATTGTTGATTTTAGGTGCAATCTTACTAGCAGCAATATCCTTGCCTGTGAAGCCCTTTTTGTGCAAAGCAATGATGACGGCACGTGTTTCCTTGCAGGTAACCATGGTTAACAGAGGAAGGACAATGATTTCAAGCACCATCCTCCTTTTAAAGCTTCCAGTCTGTTATTCTAACTCAATCAGCATGACAGAGTGATCTCCAGCCTTGTCCTCGTCAACACTCTCACCTGTGTTAACGAGAGAATCACTGACATGATGGCAGCTGGTCCTTTTGTGGCAGGGCTGAAATGCAGTGGACATGTTTTGGGGGGATTAAGTTCATTTTCATGGCAAAGAGGGACTTTGCAATTAATTGCAATTCATCTGATCACTTTTCATGACATTCTGGAGTATATGCAAATTGCCAGTATGAAAAATGTATGCACTCACTACTGTAAGTCGCTCTGGATAATAGTGTCTGCTAAATTACTCAAATGTAAATATAAGTATGTTACTCTAGTCAACAGAATATGTCCAGGGTAAAATGTCACCTTCTTGTGTTTCTTCCCAAACCACAATGTCTTGCTTCAGTACTATAATGGTGCAGATCCTTTCACACTCCATAGAAAACTGACAGAGGAGCAACTGGTGGGACTTTGTACAGTCATGTGGGCGTGGAGATATACTGTATGACCGCAGTGAGAGACTTACTGGGGTAGTCTTTAGGGTGAATCTTCTCCGACCAGTTCCCAAAGAAGGTGACTCTGTACTTAGCCGTCCCACAGGCACAGCATTCCAGAGGGGGCTTCTCTGTGGTCTCCCCAAACACAGTCTCTGAAAGGCACACACATACACACACGAGATAAGAATGGTGATGTTGCTTGATTGAATAGAATAGTTTTAGAATATGACTACGTACAGAATCTCAATTATAATCTACAGTAACAGATCATATAAAAGCATGGGGCTGTTCTGTGAGAAGTAACATTCGTAAAGGACAGATATGCTGTACCTTTCTCACACAGTCTGACAGTGAGGGAACCTTCATCCAGGAAGTAGATGATCCTCTTCTGCACAATGCTGGCCCTGCAGAGGAGGAAGAATGGCATTCCTTCTATTCACTGACAGCACAAAGAAATACAGCGCTCGCACACAACTCCCAGGGGCACACACACACACACACACTGCACACACACACTGCCGAGAGCCATAAAGTTGTCCGTGCAACAGCAACTGTGTGCCAATAGCAACGCCCAGCCATTTGAATGCTCTTCTATTTCTCTATTCCAGTACGTGAGGCGTGCAAGAGGCCCAACTGTCTGTTTCCTCTGAGGAGAGGTGGTAAAATCACCCCGTCAGAGAGCACGCCAGAGGCACTGCCAGACCTGCTCCCCATCAACCTCAGCGGAATACCAATGTGCAGAGAGCCAGGAGTCCAGACTGAGGCTGATCAATAGGACAGCCCATCAACACTATGACCATTATGACTACACTCTCTCTCACACTCTCTAAAGCTCATCTACCAGGGAAGAACATTGGCAACTTTTCGGGGGGTTGAAGATAAAAGATCAAATCGTGCTAGACTCATCAAACCGCAGGATTTAAGTGGCCAGGAGCCAAACAGACAAGTTCAAGCCCAAACTTTTTTCCACAGTAGATGGCATCACAACTGAAGCTTTCAATATATCCTCAGCCATACAGCTGTTCTGAAGCCCACAGTTACATTGTATGGAGCTCAGCAGGGACTTTGCATGTTATATAATGCAACTTGATAATAAAACATTTCCCCCTATCATTTCACTTTAGAATATGATACAGTAATTGATTCATATTTGGTGTATCAAGTTATCAAGGTTCAGATGAGGACAAATTCTGTAAAAATATCACTTTAACCCAATGTCAATATCTTAACATTTGGTGGCAGCAGTGGGATACAGTTTCAGTTGGGTAATCGTGGGTAATTGTTGGGTAATATATCCCTGACTAACCCATGACTCCCATGGCTTTCTCTCCATGGTTGTGTTCTTCACGCCAATGGTTTGGGCCGGGCTTCTGTCCAGACCATTAGTTCCAGTGGGAGTGTTTAGGATCCTTTAGTTGTGGTCCCACACACAAGCCCATGAGCCCTGGCTCTGTCTTCAGTGCTGCTGCCCACCTGCAATCTCTGTGTCGCTGGGGAGAGAGGGTGACTATAGAGAGCAGGAGAGGGTGGTTATAGAGAGCAGGAGAGGGTGGCGATAGAGAGCAGGAGAGGGTGGCGATAGAGAGCAGGAGAGGGTGGCTATAGAGAGCAGGAGAGGGTGGCGATAGAGAGCAGGAGAGGGTGGTTATAGAGAGCAGGAGAGGGTGACTATAGAGAGCAGGAGAGGGTGGCGATAGAGAGCAGGAGAGGGTGGCTATAGAGAGCAGGAGAGGGTGGCGATAGAGAGCAGGAGAGGGTGGCGATAGAGAGCAGGAGAGGGTGGCGATAGAGAGCAGGAGAGGGTGACTATAGAGAGCAGGAGAGGGTGGCTATAGAGAGCAGGAGAGGGTGGCGATAGAGAGCAGGAGAGGGTGGCTATAGAGAGCAGGAGAGGGTGGCTATAGAGAGCAGGAGAGGGTGGCGATAGACAGCAGGAGAGGGTGGCTATAGAGAGCAGGAGAGGGTGGCGATAGAGAGCAGGAGAGGGTGGCGATAGAGAGCAGGAGAGGGTGGCGATAGAGAGCAGGAGAGGGTGGCGATAGAGAGCAGGAGAGGGTGGCTATAGAGAGCAGGAGAGGGTGGCTATAGAGAGCAGGAGAGGGTGGCTATAGAGAGCAGGAGAGGGTGGTTATAGAGAGCAGGAGAGGGTGGCTATAGAGAGCAGGAGAGGGTGACTATAGAGAGCAGGAGAGGGTGGCTATAGAGAGCAGGAGAGGGTGGCTATAGAGAGCAGGAGAGGGTGGCGATAGAGAGCAGGAGAGGGTGGCGATAGAGAGCAGGAGAGGGTGGCGATAGAGCACAGGAGCTCCATTTAGACCTTCTTCATCTCTCGTTCTTCTTCATCTCACCCTCAAAGAGTCTGTGTCTTTCTTGTTCGTGTACTCTGAGATGCTCTCTCCAGTTCTTCTATTCTGGTGAAACCTCCAAGAGCTCTATGTGCAGTGTCCTGTGACATAACAGCCTTTGACACTTCAGTATACAAGATAAAGTATCACTAATGACAGGACTCTGTAGTGCAGGAGGAGGAGCATCGTTCTGGGATCTCTGCTGTGATATCCTTTATGAGATTCAGTGGGAGAATGATTGGACCTCTCCCAGCAGTAATTTGAGTTTTATTTGATGTTCGGGGGACAGAGTTGGCAGCCGTGTTTATTGGCCTTTGTCTGGCAGGCAGCCCAATGCTCCGGTACGAGGTAGAGAGCTGTACCTTAACTTTGACAGGCAAAGACAAAGTGAAAGCAATACGGTGGGATTTGCATTGCAGATGTTTCTCAGCGCAACATTTATTAGAATAATACCAGGATCGCAATAAGCCATCTGTCGAATGGGACGGGAAGATATATTAAAAGTAACTATTGTGGATATTTCTTCAAAGAGCTAGGCAAAGAGGAGTGAGTTACATCCAGCACTAAGTCAGTGAAGTGCAGCACCATTTTCAGTGTAGGAGTGAGTTACATGCAGCACTAAGTCAGTGAAGTGCAGCACCATTTTCAGTGTAGGAGTGAGTTACATGCAGCACTAAGTCAGTGAAGTGCAGCACCATTTTCAGTGTAGGAGTGAGTTACATCCAGCACTAAGTCAGTGAAGCGCAGCACTATTTTCAGTGTAAATCCAGGGCAAGATGTGTTAGGGAAAAGGATCTCTTAAATATCTATATAGCAGAGCTTAAAGGAAGACTCAGCGATATGACGTAGATGCAGAAAGTAAGCAGTAGAGTGGGTCAATTTCCGCAACAACTAAGAGCATTAAAGCGCAAGGCTCAACTTCTCCGCTGTTTTGGTGCCCTTGCTACCATGCTGTAACAGAGTGACGCGAACCCGTACACATGCGTAGATACTGTGTGTGACTGTGTGAGAGCGAAGTCCTGCATCTCGCTCATCTCAATATCTGCGGTGCTGCTCGTGGCAACAATTAAAGTCTACCTTTAATTGTTCAATATTCGATCTCACCTCAATTTCACATTTCTTAACATAAGAAAGGGCTTTCAGGTGACCAAGCAATATGCCATGGTAATAGTTATTTAACACCCAATTTCAACCCTTTTTGAGAATTATTAGGGCCAAACTGCCTATTCTCCCTTTATGCTAATCATGCAACTTTGTACGTGTGCGCACCGGCACGTATGCACAGTATGTTATGTGTGTCGACCACACATTGTACATGGATTTTGTCACAATGGCTAACAATTGTTTGTGTCTACCTGTGTGTGTTAATGTTTGTCAATTTTGTTTCATTCCAACACTGCCTGAAGTGCTACAATGCCTGTCAAAGAGGAGCTTTTGGAATTAATCTGGCTCACGCTTCATGACTGCCAATGAATTACAGAGGGCTCACTTCTTTGGGCAGCAATCAAATTCAAATAGGATTTGCCTTGGGATGAGTTTAACCCACACGTCGCTCTAACATAGCAAGACTACTCAACTTGATCGGTGACTATCAGTGCTTCTGGCCAGGAGTAAGAAACACAATGTTATTTACAATCCCGCCACTTTTTTGTGTTGCATGGGAAAACAGTATGAAATGTGTCTCAACACTTTACATAAAAGGTTAAAAATTATCCAAAACTTTTACACCAAGCTTATCGTCATGAAAATGTTACTCCCAATCTACTTATTGAAACAATGTTATTACGTAAGACTAAATTCAGTACTATAACCATGGAGGGAGTGGCGTTGATCTGGGACATAATAACGCCATGGTCTGTAGTCACACCTGCTTCTTCAGACCACTAATCAGCATAACCGTGTTCTCTGGCAACCCAAGTCAACTGCAAAGACATGGGGCCTAGAACAGCCACATAGGGACGCCTACAACTAGATGTGTTAGTCTTCTATTCTACTTGGACAAGTAACTGGTCATACAGATGCAGTCAAATATTTTGGCACCCTTGCACTTTACCATGGAGCAGAATGTTCTGTTTTCTCTTTTCAAAACTGGTTGAATGGTTATTTTTAGCCAGTAGGAACCTGCAACTTACCACAGGTGAGACAAATTACACAGTAACCAAGATAACTTGCCTAACAACCAAATAGATTTGAATGTTGAATAATCCAGAAATTTTGTTTTACTTTGAAGTGAAAAATCTAAATCAAACAAATACACATGTAAACACCAAATGTTTTTTCAATTTCAGATTATTTTAGAAGAAATAGTGAATAGTGCAAGGGTGCTAATATATTTAACCGCATCTGTATCAACAATTAGAAATGGTATTCTGAAACAAATCATTTTTAGCATTAACAGTTACAGTAATAGTGGTTATGGTAGTGGTCATAGCCGCAGGAAGTAGGGGTGCTGCAGCATTCTTTGATAAATAGACATAAAAAAATATATATATATATATATATATATATATATATATATATATATATATATATATATATATATACATATATATATATATATATATATATATATAATACAAATCACAAAATTATATTACTCCAGTGTGAACTAGGGCTTTATTACTTATGTATGAACTAGGGCTTTATTACTCCTGTATGAGTGGACAAAAATACTCCTCAGCACCCCCCCAACCCAAAACATCTTCCTGTGGCTATAGTAGTGGTAGTAGTAGTAGTCGCGTAGTATCAATATTAAAGGTACCCACTTGAGGATGACACAGCCACTGCCAGAAGGGGGTGCTGTCCAGAACACTTGTATCCTGGTCCTCCTGCGGGGGGTGCTCTCCGTCACAGCCGGGGGACAGTTGGTCATGAACTGGGTATCTTCCTCATCTATAATCTAGGGAACACAGGAAACCAGTCAGTCACAACTACACAATTTCTCACCACCTCACTTTTTGGGAAAAGCTATTCAGTTTTTTGCAAAACAAAAAAGTTATAGCTGCAAGAAAGTAATTGAGTCAATTAACTTTTCGTTATTTTTATAATTAAAGAATCCTTTTGAGAAATTACTAACTTTCAA